GATCCATTTATAAAAAAGCTATATAGTAATTTAACAATGTGCATTTTGGGGGGGTTGGGGAGATGACACGGTGGATCACACGCCCAACCCCCCCCCTCCCTCCCACCTTCCTCTCGTCATCTTAATCCGCCTCTGCCAACACGGGCAGACCACCCAACCAGGTTCTGAACCCAGATTGCTACATCCATCAAACTAGCGGTGAATTAATTGCACTCATTCAAAATGTTCCCTTTTCTAAACGTTCACTCCTTGTATTAATTATTAATATTATATATATATTTTTTTAAATCTCTTAACAGAGTAAATGGTTGATTCATTGTTGGTTGTGGAGCTTGATGGGCTACGGTTGTCATGGAAAAAGAACTCTTCCTGACGCTAGAGAAGAGGAAGTGCCATGACGTCACCAAACTCTTATCGGATTGACTTTTGCATTTGCTGTAAACTGTTTTCATTATAACTATTTAGTTAATGCAAGTATCTGTTTTTTTTTAAAAAACAGCTTTTTAAGAAAATGTTAATAGAATTTTTAGTGATGGTGTGGTAGCAATTCTAGTGTGTACTGCTGTACGATTTCTAATGTGAATGTGAATGCGGTGACTTATCAAATGTGGTGTTAGTCACATTTCTTGTGTGGGTGTGGTAGTATCTCTGGTTTGGATGTGTTAAATTTGCTGGGTTTTTGGATGTGGTAACATTTCAAGTGTGGATGTGGTATCATTTCTGGATTGGGTGTTTGAAAATTTTTGGTGTGTTTAAGACACAAATGTGTGCATGCGGCAATAATGCTAGTGTGGATATGGCAACAATACTTGTGTGGATCATTAGATGATGCAATAACGGTAGCGTGGATAGGGTAATAATGCCTGTGTGGATGGTGTAATAACTAAAGTGTGGATGAGACTAAAATGTTGCTTAAATAACATAGAGAATGCGACCAGGGGATCACCTACACTCTATAACAATTATCTCCCCCACCCACCCCATTTGAAACGATTGGGCTAAATACAGATTTCTATTGTAACATTTGTAGCTAAATTTTTCAATCTCAAAAAGCCATTGTAAATCACCCCTCAGTTCTCTTGATGGTTTCATTTCATATTACTTTATATTTCTGCATATAGCTGTTTAAATACGGGAAGATTCCATTCACAAGCCAAGTCCAGTTAGACGTATATTTCCAAATTTTTGTATCACGCCCAAAAACTTCGCCCTCATTTTTGCCCATGATTTGAACACAGTTATTCAAATTATATTGTTATTTAAAACAGGGGTGGACAAACTACGGCCCACGGGCCGCATGCGGCCAGGCAACTGATATTATGCGGCCCTCAAAGGCATTTAGAAATTTAAAAAAATTACTTTGTTTTTAAGTTATTTTGTTAAAATTTTTACAGAATTTCATGTAGGCCTACCGTTATGATTTTTAAAACATTTTTTATCAAATCTCTTTCTAATTTTCTTTTTTTTTTTTTTTTTAATTCCTTGACTTTTGTCATGTAAAGCTAAAATTCGAATTTACCTATTTTAATACATAGATGGCCCCCCCCCCCCAAATGTGGCCCTCCGCATAAAAATTTTGCCCACCCCTGATTTAAAATATGATGAAGATACATTTTAAGATATCAAAAAAAAATAATAAAAAATTTTAAGAACAAAATTAAGGTCTAACCTACAGTAATAGGTAAAGCATATTTACACTTGATATCTACTTTAGAAGTAGCCTAAGAATGGGTTCATCTCAAATCATGTTATTCACACCATTGATGTGCACGCTGTGAGACATGTACGCTACTCATTTGGATCATTTGCTTTATTAGGCTTGTGTTCATGTTGGGTTAGATTTTCATACAAACGTTTAGTTCTACACAGTTCCTCCACTGCTACCTTATGTTTACCAGTGCTTTGCTTTTTAGATTTATACAAATGATTCATTGATTGTATCTCTGTCGTCTGCTGCTGAATGCATACGTAGATCGTTTTTTTTTTCTTCATGCTGACTTATCGTTATGAGTGTGCTGTACCCCTAGCCCCGCCCTCCAATATATATATATATATATATATTTATGATGATTATTTGTTCACGAAAGTCTAAAACATTCTACTTCATTTCTCCAAATTCTAAAATCCGAGACAGATTAAATAAAACTGTGTATATAAATGTACATATATCAACACTCGTTTTTTTGTTTTTTGTTCTTAAATATAACATCTCTATAAGAAAACCTATAAACAGGAGTGTAGCTGATGATAGGTTGGCTAGACGGTGGCGTCACCCTAAAGGGACACTAATACCGATATGATTTGTTGCCATTTTTTTTTTCGGAAGATGGAAAGCTATGCATATTAAAGTTAGTGGGATCTATTCTTTCAAGTTCTCGCTCCCCCACATCTTTTTGATTGATTGATTTGATATTTATATCGCGCCGGTATCCATGCCATTTTAGCATGGTCACTGCTTTCTAGTCCTCAGAATTCTATTTAAACAAAAAAGTTTTTAATTGTTTCTTAAATGATTTTTTATCATTTTCAATTCCCCTCAAAGATTGAGGCAAACTGTTCCATAATTTTGGCGCAATCGCTTCAAAAGAGCGCACTCCGTACGACTTGTTTTCTGTGTTTATCCACACTAATAACACTCAGCAAGTACTGTGATGAAGACCGCAGGCTCTTCACGGATACATGTTTATAAATCAGTTCCGGTGCTAAGCCGTCTCTGCAGCTGTACGCCAGGGACAGAATTTTGTAGTTAATGCGCTCACTCACAGGAACACAATGGAGATCTCGTAGAACTGGGGTGACGTGGTCAGATTTTTTCATCCGCGATACAATGCATGCTGCACTATTTTGTATCTTTTGGAGTCTATGAATTTGGTTCTGAGGTAAACCCCACAAACAACTATTGCAGTAATCTAATCTTGACTGGATTAGAGTTATTGCTACAGCATTGACTGTTCTCCTATTAAGTTGAGGACGCAGCTGACCCAGGGCACGCATATGACAGAAGCATGCATTGACAACAGAACTGATATGGGGAATCATACTAAGTTTACTGTCAATATAAAAGCCAAGGTCTGGGACAGTCGAGGACAACAGGATCTCTGATTTCCCATCTTTTATTGATGCAATGGTAACTTTCCGTAGATTGGCGTCTGAACCACAAATAATTGCCTCAGTCTTATCATCATTTAATTTTAGCCTGTTTGATGACATCCAATCTTTCACAGCAAGACAGCAGTCCTCGACAGCCTGAACAGCAGTAGCCCACTCCAAGGGATCAGGGCGGAAACACGTGTATAGTTCTGTGTCATCTGGAAATATTTTGCGGGAAATACCATGACTTTCAATAATTTTGCCGAGCTGGCTAGTGTACACGGAGAACAGAATAGGTCCTAAAACTGATCCCTGTGGCACACCACAGGTAACGGAAATGTGCATGGAAGATGCCTGCCTCACCACAATACGCTGAGTCCTGTCAGTGAGATAAGAAGAAAACCAGTGAAGTGCAGTTCCAGTAATGCCTGCAACATTCAGAAGTCTTGACAGAAGAAGCTCATGGTTGATCACGTCAAAGGCAGCACTGAGATCCAATAGAAACACAATTGTCAGATCGCCACGGTCAGCACTACAAAGAACATCATTCATAACACGGAATAGTGCTTTCTCACAGCTGTGCCCAGGTCGATATGCAGATTGAATCTTGTCAAGCAAGTCATGAGTGCTCAGATGCTGCACAAGCTGCTGTGACACAACTCTCTCAAGAATCTTAGATACAAAGGGCAGGCTGGAGACCGGGCGAAAATTCTTGCAGTCATTTGGGTCCAGACCACTTTTTTAAAGCAGAGGCTTAACGACCGCTGTCTTGAAGAGACGTGAGACTGTAGCAGACTGAAGGCTAATAGGCACGATGTTTATCTTTCCTGATATTTCAAATATGTTGCACATAGGCTAACTACACTTACGATAGTGTTTTCCCATTTCTGTTATAGTCATGAATTTCATGGCAATTAGTCTTAGAATATCAAGCTTGCTAATTAATTATTCAATTTTACTATTCACACAGAATTGTGAAATCTGTATTTAAAAAAAAAAAAGACTAAAAAAAACCAAAAACAATTATAAAAATGACAACAACTACAACAAAAAAAAAAAAAAAAAAAGAAGAAACAACAACAAGGAGAACATTATCCAAACACAAATAACCAAATGGTTCTAACTTATCCAAATGTCACAAAAAAAAAAAAAAAGCCTAAAAAAAACCAAAAACAATTATAAAAATGACAACAACTACAACAAAAAAAAAAAAAAAAGAAGAAACAACAACAAGGAGAACATTATCCAAACACAAATAACCAAATGGTTCTAACTTATCCAAATGTCACAACTCGTCAAACTTGGATGTTGCATTCATAATTAAATTATTATTTATTTAAAATTAAGATTACCAATATTTGACGCCACTTAGTACTGGGAAGATTAAAAAAAAAAATTTCTATTTTTTTTTTACAAATATGCATGATTATAGTTTTCAAAATTCCAACGGGTTCGCTATTAGACCAGACAGTGTGATATGTCAGACCAGGCAGTGTGATATGTCAGACCAGGCAGTGTGTTAATTCGAGATGTGTAATCTGGAGGGTAGGGTGGGGAGGCTATCAATCTGGGTCAATATAAATAGCAGGAAATAAATTATAAAGGTAAACAAAAATATTTAGCAACATTGACAAGTTTACCCATGTGGTGCCCTCCTATACATACACTCACACAAAATAATAATTGTAAAAACACTAATTTATTGGCCAGTGGCGACCTGGGTGGTTTTCGACTTTTCCTAACGCTAATGCCATCAGATTATGAAAGTTCAAATTAATTTTTTTTTAAAAAGTCCCAGCAGACTTTAAGCCGCAAATATCTGTACTGTTCTTATGGATGAAACTGGACGTTGCGAGTAATGTCGGAATGACAAGATTTTGGGTAAATGTGTACTTGGGACCCCCCCCCCCGGGTTCATTTGATAAGCCTACTTGGCGTGAGTAGCTACTTTATGACCACTGTCCTCGCTGGTACGTTCCTCCTCAAGGATGGCTTCCTCGAGGCAAGGCATGCGGACAATGACCATCGGGTAGACGGAGTGCAGCATGACGTCATTGGTCACACTGCTGACCAGGGCGCGGGACTCTTTTCTTAAAAGGCTGTGGTTGTCGGGGATACGAGGTCTACCCGGCGGGTAGAGAGTTTGGGTTCCCATGACAACCATGCACGGTCGCACGAGTTTACATAATTCCACGATGGCGCTCCATGTTGAGTTTCCGGCAATGCGCAGAACTCGCCCGACAATCTGAATATACAAAAAAAAAATATATATATATATAATCCCTTAAAACCAAGGTTATGGTGTGTGAGGTGTGGATTGCGCCCTTGAACAATCACACCTCTGATTTTAAGAGTGATACTGAAATAACTTTGTTCTATGCTCGTCCTAGTAAGGCCGAAAAGCCCTAGATTCCCAAACTGGTGATCTCACCTGGTTGTCGGTCAGAAGCTTTTCAAAAACTCGCTTGATCTCCGTTGATTTCACCTCTGCTTCTTTCATCAGCTCTAACACGTCACCTTGACCTGAGAGGATGTGTTTTGGATTGAGTAAAAACATGTATTTGTCCTTCTCATAATATAATATGAGAAATACAATATGTTAAATATTATTTTATTTAATATGCATGAAATAACTAAAAATACTATTAAAATTAAGTTAAACTATGTTATGATTAAGCTAAAGATGACGTATCATACAATGGACTCGTTTCATCACAGATACGAAATATAAGCAAGGTGCGTTTTCAGCAGGTCTTTTCAGTTGAAACATCACATTTGTTTGGAGACAACCCAAGATGCCTGATCTTATCAGAGGTTAGAATCTTAGAGAGGAAATGCATACAGCATTAAAATACTACCTTCTCATCCGTGGGGAAGAGACGGTCGCCCTTTAAGAATAATTTTTGATTTGCCGGTTGCTTGGTCGAAACGACTGCCTTGAATTGCTCCCCTTTAATGGTGTGTGTTTCCTTGTTTTAATTACGGCAGCTGTCACCTTGGGCATTTTGACAGAATGTTCGTTCTGCAACACGGACAGTTAACTTGGTTGTTTTTTTTTTGTGGATTGGGTGGAGGGGGGCCGTTGAAAATGTACCCTGGGCCTCACCATTGGACTAACCGACACAGAATACCGTTGGCACTAAAAGTCCAAAATACTATTGGACTCAAGTCTCTAAACCTCTCGTTCAAGGTTCAGGTTCTACGTATAGTGCACTGCATGGTCGGTGGTTGCTTTCTCTCAGGGCGAAAGCTTTCATGGCCGCTGGTTACTTTCTCTCAGGGCGAAAGCTTTCATGGCCGCTGGTTACTTTCTCTCAGGGCGAAAGCTTTCATGGCCGCTGGTTACTTTCTCTCAGGGCGAAAGCTTTCANTGGTTTCTTTCTCTCAGGGCGAGGGCTTTCATGGCCGCTGGTTTCTTTCTCTCAGGGCGACACCTTTCATGGCCGCTGGTTTCTTTCTCTCAGGGCGAAAGCTTTCATGGCCGCTGGTTACTTTCTCTCAGGGCGAAAGCTTTCATGGCACCTAGTTACTTTCTCTCAGGGCGAAAGCTTTCAGTCAATATTCAAAGAGCCTCCAATTTTCAATGAATTGTTTTATTGCCACGGCTCGTCGTCATCAAAAGTTACATCGCCGATATCGTTCTATAATTACTTTAAGACGTAACCGTAAAAAATTGAATGTTACATCGCCTGGACAAGTTTTGCTGCCAGAGTATATTTATAAAAACAGTACGTCCACTCCATGATCATGGCCTGTTGCCCAGGGTGATGGATTTTGGACGAGTCTGTGGATTTGTCTGTAACTAATGGCGTAAAACAAGGATGTGTTCTATATCCCAACACTTTTTAGCAAGGTATTCTCATCAATGCTGACTGATGCTTTTCTTGACAATAATGACGGCATTCCTATATACAGGACAGATGGAGGGCAATTTGATCTTTAATTCACGGGACACATTTGCCATGGATCGTACAAGCTGGGGTGACAGACTCAATGTTGTTGGAGCAAAATTCTCAGAGAATAAGCGTACCGCTCACCCCCAAAGAAAGCGCACAGCAATAAAAAGCAAAATTGACTCAAATCCAACTAGGACCATGACCCCAAAATAAACGCATGTGCCACGTACGGGAAAAGTTTCCAGTCACAAACAGACGTAGCCGTCAGATAAAATGGAATGTTACATCGCCTATATCGTTTCAGTTACTAAGAGCAAAATACTACGTACTTTTTTCATATTTTTAACCAGGGCCGTGTGAAGGGGTCAGCCGCCTCAGGCACCAACATCAGGGGCGCCAAATCTTCAAATCTCCAATAAGTATGACCTATTTATTATATTGTTCATTGATAAAACGTGGGGTGAGGGCAGGGGGTATTTTTAAGGTTCACCCTTGGCGCTGATTTTCATTTGCACGGCCCTGTTTGTCAGTAATTCAAAGATGTGCTGATGAGGAGGTCACTAAATACCATCGCACCCCCCCCCCCCCACCTTTCAATTCTGATAAATTTCAACTGAAGTCAAAATGAATTAGAAATTTATTCCTGGAGTTAGCAGGACGAGGCTGTAATCTTGCTTCACTTTAAACGTTTTGCTACTTTGTCNCCCCCCCCCCCCCCCCCCCACCCCACTCACCAACCAGTAACGATACTCAGATTGACTTCCTTACTTACTCATGCCAACTTTGATGAAATCCTTGTAGGCCGGCACGTGGCAAATGTTCAACTGATAGTTTGGCTTGTGGATGTTGGCCAGATACCCTGCGGAAAGTCAAACATCAAGTACACGACTGTCCATACTTGCTTACAGTTTACAGCCTTAGGCATTGTGATGTTTGTCGATTATAAAGCTTTGCAGGATATGGCTTTAAAATGACTCCAGAAGTTATTACAAAAGCTTGATTGCAAGTTAAACAAAACCTTACGCTGATTCTGTCTCTTGCAGACCTTATCAAATTATATAAAGGAATAAAAAAGACAGTTGACCTTCCCGACTTTGCATGGAAGCGATTCTGTGACTAGGGACTAGTTCTTAGTCTGATGGTAACTAATCGCTCTGGAGAGAGAGGTCACGTGGTATAATATTCAAATGTATAGGTGATCTCATTCTCAAATGAAGTTTCATTATTTTTCTATTTTTTTCACAAAGTTTGAAGACAAACTCCATGTGGTAACAAATATATGAATATCCCAATTTTTATCCGCATTGGGATTATAGTGGGGTGTGTTATAACGGTATTCCACTATAATCATACTTTTCGTTTTTTAAAATTAAATATATAATGAAACAGATTGTTTAATTATAAATTATCTTTACAGATACATTGTCAGGTAGCCATTGTCATCTTAAGATCGATTTCCATGTAATGAAATTCATATTCTTTAGAATTATTCATATAATATATATTTTAATACATATAACAAAAGAAATATTTATAATGGTGAGTGCAAACGCAAACATGTGCCAGGTTTTTTTAAAAAACCATTTTAATTAGATTTAAATTGTTTCTCAGTTAAAGCTGAGGGTGTTATAGCAAACGGCCTCCAAATTAGAACAGCCTAAGGCCTCTCGTAAGCTAAATCCGCCCTGATCAAAACGAAAGATCCTGTCTGCACATATCGGTTCCCCACCAACGGGGATATCATAAAATCATGAACATGTTCAATAAAACGAAAGATCCTGTCTGCACATATCGGTTCCCCACCAACGGGGATATCATAAAATCATGAACATGTTCAATAAAACGAAAGATCCTGTCTGCACATATCGGTTCCCCACCAACGGGGATATCATAAAATCGTGAACATGTTCAATTTTCAGGACTCTTGACTGTCGAGATCTGACAAAACTAACCCATCCCTTGCATTTTTTTATAACTGCAAAATTCATTACGGCAAATATATTTATTGCTCTATAACTAGGTACCACACACTGATTTTTCAAAACAGTCCATTATATTAAAGCTTTGTTTTTATACTGTCATGTCAAGAACTCATGATTCTAAGAACGTGGATACCAAACTTGTTCATGTAACTCAATTGTTTAAAAGTTATGAATTTCTGAAATTTAGTATTTTGACTTTTTTTGTTTGTTGCCACATTAAAAGTGCCATAACAGTACATATAATAACAAATGTTAATGTAATCTGTATCCATTTATTACTGATTTACTTAATACCTAGATAAACATCATTATTATGACAATATCCGGTGGCCAAAAATAACAAAACATTATATTTTTTCAATTATATTAAATAACTTTTTGCTATGACATGTTCTCATTTTTTGGGGGGCCACCCTTTTGATACGTCACCGTCACTTAACAAAAGCAGGCGCACAGGCCTAACATTTTGAAATACCCACAATGAAATGTATACTGGCTTAAGGTGTCCCAGGTCACGGGCATCACGACTTGAGATCCTTCGAAGCTGTAATGCCTCCCTTGCTTAACCACATTATCGACAAACATCGTCGCCATGTAGCGATCATCCACTTTGGTTCGATCGTCGCCAACGATCGTATTTCTTTCCCCCTGAGGGAAGAGATGGAGAGGAAACCAGTTTCAGCATTGTAACCTACGTAGCGTTTTTAACAGGTATAAACTTAAGTGTATCACAGGTTGGTCAAATGGTCAGGGGTTTCTAGTCGGGGTCAGGGTGGTGTCAATTTCTAAGACTTTGTATTTCCGTACAGCTAAATAAATACCGCAAAGAAAAATTATAATTAAAAAAAAAAAAAAACACTTAAGGCAGAATCTGGTAAAATTGAAATTCAAAAGCCCTGACATCGCAAATTTTGCTAACGTGAACCGGTTATCTAATTAAGTGTCTAAGCCTGCGGTTCTCAACCTGTGGGTCGCGACCCCTTTGGGGGTCGCACGACCCTTTCCCAGGGTTCGCCTAAGACCATCAGAAAACACATATAATCTACAGTTATGACGTAGCAACGAAAGTAATTTTGTAGTTGGGGGTCGCCACAACAATGGGAACTGTATTAAAGGGTCGAGGCATTAGGAAGGTTGAGAACCACTGGTCTAAGCCATTAACGATATTTTTTATCCATCTCAAAACACAAACAAATAATTTTTTCTTCTTCTTCTATATATTTAAGGGCCCACGATCAATGTATTGATCATTTTGGCTCCTGTGCATGTAGAGGGGATTTGCAATGTTTCTGTGCCGATTGAAACCTGACTGGACAAGGAAATAATTCATGCAACGCCTCCGGTGTCAGCCATGACTATTCGAAATTTATTTATTGCATTCACTAGCAATAGATGACAGAGCGACGGGAACTGTCTTCAAATGATACCTTTCTTTAATGCTCCATGCTTTGGGAAATTTTGTGACAATGCGCTGTCTTATATTGTGACAATGCGCTGTCATAAATTGTGCCGTTATTGTGCAATCAGTTCCCCTTTCCCGCCCCTAGTGGTGTAGCAATGGAAAAAGAAAAAAGGGGGGTTGGGTCGGGGGTTCTAACACAGACGGCCCTTTTTCTATATATATTGAAGGACGACATTGTCGGCAAAGTGCAAAATTGTTTTTCGTGAGAGGGGTGGCTAAAATTTTAGACAGCCTCAAGTTGCACTAACCCAAGATATGAGACTGTCCACCCCACTCCAAAATTGCATATGTTTGTACACGGAAGTACACAAGGTATTTCAAATCACTCACATAAAAAAAAAGGTTGTCTTCGTCACTCACTACTACGAACATACCCACACCATGGATGAGATTTAGCTCATAAACTTTTACTTTAGCACACTTATGTTAATACATTATTTACCATTTTATGCGTTTGACTATTTACTGAGTTAATATAGTATTTGCTGAGCAATTTCTCAAATGTAAACAACTAAAATTTAATTTTAAACAATTAAAATCAAGGGGTAAAAAAAAAAAAAAATACAACAAATTAAACAAATTGAAATTGTCTGTCCCTTTCAGCTCGTTCCTTAGTAACACGAATTTAAAAACTTTAACATCATTTTTGACAAAACAAATATATTTTGATTTGGTCCGACTGTATTTTGATAGGAGTAATAAATATGAATCTGAAAGGCGAGATCATACGCTTTATTCAAATTATTATGTAAAAGGATTATAGAAGTGTTTTTTTGTGATGGAAACCTTTTTTTTAAAGAAGGAAATTTAAAAAGATGCATTAATTAATTAAGTAGTTTACCCTCAAAATAGTTTTTTTTTTAAAAGGAAAAAAACCACATTACTTTTAAATAATATTAAAAAATATTTGTATAACACAACCAAGTCAAGCAGAGCTGTCGATTGATTTTTCAAGGCTACCTGCCATTTTCGATTTTGTACAATCCCCACCTTGCATTCAAAGTTTTTAATTAAAAAAGTGTCTACTTAACAACTTTAAGCCCATACAATATCTGAAGCCCACTTCAGCCGTAAGGGTTGCAGGGCCCACACGATGGCTCTGAGACCAAGTGACACCTTCACCTACATTTTTAACTAGCATTCCTCTCGTTTCTTTCCGATTAAATGTAAAATGATGTTAAACTAAATTCAGTTATGTGCTAAAATGTATTCTTTCATTTTGAATTTATCCACACGCACACTCAAACAGTTTTGAGGGCCATACAGATTTAAGGGATGAGACAAAACTAGGAGAAAAAACCATACCCTCAAGGGCTCTAGTGGAGTTTAACGTTTTGTTAGGCCTACTATGTCTAATTTTGGCGCGTCCTAAACGAAAGTCTGAAATGCCCTCTCCCAATGTGTCTGAAAGAAACACCAAATTCAAGTATGCACCTGCATTTCGAATTTCGAATCTATCAAGCATTATCTAAGGGTACCCCTGCTCCCTTTTTTGCTCAAGAGTCTTAATGACTTTTCTGCTCCCCCTTCCCTCACACCGATCAATGTGACATGGTAATAAAGGGGAGAGACTGCAATCAGGTTAGGTAGAAGGAAATAAGCGACACAAAGTATTGGAAAACCTTTAAAAAGGACGCAACAAAAAATTCTGGGGAGGGGTTACCAGATTCCCTCAATTTCTACCCTACTTACAGATAAAAATGGCCATAAGTGCAAAGTTGGTGCCGATAGCGACAAGTGGCATAGTTAGTGTTACTACCGCTCTGGATAGACCAGTGTTTATGTCACGCTCCTTTTCACGATGCAGACTCTGCAGTTTTCCGAAAATGCCACCCCTCTATATAAAGAAGACTAAAGGCCGACTACCCCCATCCGACACTTTCTACGCCAATGGCAGAGGTGTAGATAGAGTGTTTGGTGCCAAGGAACAATATTTATTTTTACGCCTCCCACCCTCAACTCTGAAACTCGTTATTTTCATCCAATAAATACCACCAAAGCCATTTTGGGACCCCATTAATCTTGCGCCCGGGGACATATGTCACCCTCTGCACCTCTTAACCCTTTACCTGATCTCTGGCACTGCCTACCCTGAAATATCTCCCCCCCCCTGCCCCGAGGGGGGCATTTTTTTCTTCTAGAAATGACCTAAGTAGTGAATTAAATTTTAAATTAAATAGCATATACTTCACAAAGACAAGGCATCATCTTTATATATATATATATATATATATATATATANTATATATATATTGATTGGCATTGCCCCGGCATCGCTTTTCCTTGACACGCCCCTGCTAAAATGTCAGAACCGTCGGGTGACTATTGGAGGCCCCCTGCCTTTTTTCATTTTTGTGTCCCCTTCATGCCAAGCTAAATTTTTTTTTGTTCAATTTCAAATTACAATTTTGGGCTCCATACAAAGCCTAGGCCCACTCGACGGTTCTGTATTCTGTATGTGTGCATGTCGATGACTTCCTGACAATTTTATTTTTATTATAGCCTAGTGTGTATTTTGCACAGCCCTAAAATAAGCTCAAATGAAAAGTCTTTGGTGTTCTTTATATTTTTCTAAAAAAGTAAATAATTTAGGCCTAAATCAATCTACAGATTTTCTGATGCTTTTGTGTACCCTTTTGGGTCAGATATGTGTGGTATCCCAGATCTCGGTAAAGAGAGAAGCCCAATGTTTGTTTATTATTTTTTTTAAAATTCCCCCAGTTTGGAAAAGTAGAGCACTAATATTTTAAACCTAACAGTCGTATCTGTAGACAGTACATAATAGGTAAGGCATCCCACTGCATGAAACCAACATCATTAAATGAACGCGTTACTTAGCATAAATGCTTAATTCAAGTCTTTTCTACCATGCAGTAACATGTGCGTTTTGAGTTTTGTGTCTCTTAAATGATTTTCTCGGTCAGTCACTTTTTTAAAATGCTTTTCAAAGTAACAACTTTGTCAAAGTTGTTATTACTGTTATTATTACTGATACTATTTGTCCAAACATTTGAATTACTCATTCACTAGTGACTAGTGATAAGTCTAAAGGCCCGAGGGGGGGGGAGTCCCTACAGGGGCCATCGACTCCCCTCCCCCTCCCAGGTGGTGGATCGACCTCCCTCCCGCCCCCCGCCCAGGTGGTGGAAGCCAATTCTTTGGGTCATGGACATGGTATTGGTATTTATTTCTAGAGTTCAATATGAATATCAGTTATACAAAAATTTACAGTAATTAGGGCCTTCAGTTAAAATTCGAAAATTGACTGAGCAATGTTGACTATTATATTATTATTATTATTTATTAATGAAAACAATAACAATGATTTTGTATGATTAAAAAGTTTTGTTACCATTTTGCTATTAGCTCAATAACGCTCAACATTGTTCAGCTAACAGATCCAGTGATTGTTCAAACAATGAATTTTACTTTTAGGACTAGTCTATATTTTTTTTGTTTTTATATTAAAAAGTAAAAGTAAAAGAAAGAATATCAGCCGAAAACAGGGCATACTGCAGTAGTCAGAAAATACTCAAAAGTAAAACATTACAAGAGAAAAAAAATAAAACAATTAATAAAACTGTAATAAGACCAGTTGTAACATATGCAAGTGAAACTTGATCCCTAACCAAAACAGCAGAAAACTTATTAAACACATGGGAGAGAAAAGTTCTCCGGAAAATAAATGGACCAACAAAGGATGAATATGGATGGAGAATACGAACCAACCATGCATTGTACAGTCTATATCAGGATCCCATGATGGTAGCAGAAATAAAAAAGGGCAGGCTACGCTGGGCAGTGGGCAGGACACTTAGACTTAGAGAGAATGTCAAGTGACAGAGGAGTGAAGAGGGTGGATCATCAAAACCTCAGAGGAAAATGGCTCAAAGCCAGACCTAGGCTTAGAAGGATGAATGATGTGGAAAAAAGATCTACAACAACTGGGAATCCAAGCATGGAAATGAAAAGCATCAGTTAGGTCTTAGTGGAAGGAAATAGTGAGGCAGGTCAAAGCCCTACACGGAAAGTAGCGCCACAGGGATGGATGGAATATTAAAAAGTCAGTGGCTGGATGGCTCTGCTGTGAAAATGTGACTGTCCCAAACAATGCAATCCAGCAAAGCTCAGACTAGTTACAACTACTGGACACTGGAGTTCTTTAATGGAACAAGCTTTTTTTCTATTTACAAAAACCCCAGGCCTTATAATTTCGTTACATTGCAAAAAAAAAAAAAAAAAAAAATTTTGTTTTAAATTTTATAAAAATATAAAAAATTTTAAAAAAATTCTTTAATGGAAAAAGTTTTTTTTCTATTTACAAAAACCCCAGGCCTTATAATTTCGTTAAATTGAAAAAAAAAAAAAAAAAAAAAGTGGGTGTAAATTTGTATAAGATTATTAATATTTCTAAAAACTACCTCAAGGCTGTTGCAGTTACAGACGGGACAATTTATAAAGAGATTCTTCTTCAGATATAAGAGTTCTGTGTTTTACTATTTTTCAATAATATAGTAGCGAATTGAGACAAAAGTTCAGCTAATCCCCAATCTGATTCTGGGGGTTGGATAAAAAATCTCTCAGCTTTTGCAGTTCTCCAGGTAACAAAAGTAATATGGAATATAAAGAAAAAAAAAACAAATATTTATTTTGTTCTTTTTCATCATACCTACATATTGTTAAAGATTGAATATCCTTGCATGAAAGCAGATATATTTCATCAGATTTAATTTTATTTTATTTTCATAAAATTATGCAAAATCACTATCACTATTTTCTGAATATGACTGCATTTAAATTTATTCGATTTCTGTAAAAATGATACAAGATCAATATCATTTTCTTTAAGAATCCATCATTACACTGTCACATTAGCTCCTTCCTAAATATATTTTGGAAATCTTTATGAGTACTTAATTGTACTTAATACACCCTGGACACATTTTATTGTTTATTTTTATATAAGAGAAGATAAGATTCTTAACTGATCCAACTAAATGGAAATGTTTTTTTTATTACATTGTACACATTCAGTTTTAACACATTAATAAATGTATATTTAAACCTAAATAACATTTAAAATTGTAACAATTTTAAACACAATACATCTAAGGTACTTCTCTAGTGTAGAAATCAGCCATAAATTGACTCCTTTAGTGACAACAATGACTTAATTAGTGATCATTTAGATTTGGTAACCGTTGGGGGAGCACGATGGTAAATTTGTACAGACAGGAGAACAAAATAATTTTTATATCTTTCAGTCCTAGGTATCTGTGATAAAGTGGAAAGTGGGTGGGATGTGTCAGTATCCAAAATATTTTTAGTTTTACAACAGCTTTTTTCTTTAAATAGTTCCTCAAGTGAAGGATGTATAGTTTGTGTGATGCTACTAGCTTTCTTGATTAGTCAATTTAATATAATCTCTGTCTCATTATACATCATGATATTTATGACCATAATTCTTTTTATTTACAGATGAGTGCTCACGCTGTCACTGTTAAAGAACAAGATAAAAGGCTTATTTCGAGCAGGTCCCAGCCTTATGTCTATTTTAAAGTAAAATTGTAAGTAAATTCATTGTAAAATATACTATATGAAATGTATCAAATAAACTTGTGTTGAGTTTAATTACACATACAAATAGTGCATTCGTTTACTTTATCAACTGTACAAAAACAATTAATGCCTTGTTTTGCTAAATTTATTTTTAACAATGGATTGTTTTAAAGTTAAAAGCTTTTTATTTTTAAATTTTGTAAGTAGCAGTTATGAAATCCACATTTCTGTAAAACATTTGTTTATTTGAAAATAATAGTAATAGGCTTAATAATCTTACTTTTAAATGTAATTTCAAAGTGAAAATCATATAGTAGTTTTAACAAATTTTCATATATGAATTTTTCAGAACTATAGAAAATGAAGATACCAGTCAGATGACAGATGTAGTATATAAATTTTTGATAACAAAGGCTGTTGCTGAAACACTTGGTGAAGTATGTTGAAACAAGAGGTCTATTAATGTTCTTAAAATAATTATATACTATATACCATAGGCTACCTACTTGTTTTTTTCAAGTTACATGTTCTCCACTGCTATCTGTCCTATTGATTAGGCTTCTAAGGAATGTACCTGGCTAAGGATGGTAGCAGAATTGTTATCAGTTTTCATTTTTTTTTCAGGTTGGTGCTGCCATTTGTGTAGACCTTCTGAAACTCTTTGGCAACGGAGTTTCAATAATTAGAGTTCCAAGCAGGTAGAGTTGGTGTTATACAAATGAGAATCATCATTCGTTACAGTAGTAGTGAGCAAATTAACAGATGGCTAAAGTATAAATGAGCAGTCTTGCTATTCACTAAAAAGAAGGCCTCAATGGGACTGTGCTAAACCTTTATTTTTTATCTAGTATGCAACAATAATTAAACGTTAAAAAATTTTTTATCCTTTAAAAAATTTTATTTATTATTAAAAATAAATTTGATGTTTGTATGACTAACAAGTTTTTAAAAAATTAACCTAATTCACATTAATAACCCTTATGATTAATTTACAAACAATCTCATTATATCAAGTCCATCTATAAATCCTGATTAGAGAGTGGATAAAAGTTAAGCAGATAAATCTTTTACAAATGAAATCCTTGTTTTTTTTTTTTGCTTGTGTTACTGATTTCAAACATTACTAAACCCACCCTGACATATACAATACTATCCCCCCCCCCTCCATTTATGGATAAAAGTTAAGCAGATAAATCTTTTACAAATGAAATCCTTGTTTTTTTTTTTTGCTTGTGTTACTGATTTCAAACATTACTAAACCCACCCTGACATATACAATACTATCCCCCCCCTCCATTTATCAGCTAATATAAGATAAATAGCTAAACTATTGTTCCTCTGCACATGTCATAATAAATACTGTAAAATCCCCTTTTTCTCTATTTGATAATTTTGTTTAGATGGGACATTAACTTTGTTGCTTTTCTTTTCACAAGTTTATGATACAAGTTATGTTGTTATTAAACTTTTTAATTAGAATTTTGTCTCTTCTTGATTTTCTTTGTTTAGCCACTCTGAAAAATTATGGGCAGCTTTAACACTTTATGGGACAACACCTGCCCAGGCACGCTGTGCTTTCAGAGTCCTTCAGGTAAGTTGTTCCATGGAATGAGGATGACATTTTTGTTGTATAAGAAATATAGAGTGACAAATTTAGTGCAAAATGATTTCACACAACGTTCATGCTTGGTGAATCGTCTCACAGTGTGTGACAGAGTAATGAGTTGTGTAGTGATAGAGAGGGTAAGAGTTAACTCATGGAGCAGAATTGGAAGGTATGGGTTAAATGCTTTGTGCTAGAGTTAGGGATCTAGAGCTGTCAGTGATTTGCTTGATCAAAACAATTTTTTTATCCAAACTTTTTTGTCAACTTTATGTCCTTACCTAGCACTTTGTCAATAACAGGTGCACCACACGGGATGTATTGCAAACCAAATTATTTCTTCATTCATTTAGTGATTCTTTTCAATCTTGGCACAAACAGACATTTGACATATATATTTGTGACCACATGCCCCATTTCTTATTGACTGATTTAAAAAAAATTAGATTCAAATAAGTAATCTGGAATCCTAAATGAAAATTATAAAACATAAGACTATTTAGTATCAACTAAGATCAAAGGATTTGTATAAACACATGTAAGGGGTACCTAACTTTCCTCTAGCATTTCTTATGTTGTTCTCCAACTAAGTGTAGCATTAGGAAAACTAACTTCAGGTATTCCCCAGCATGCATCCCTGCATTTTGAATTTTCAGCAGACTTTGATGGGCATCCTCTAGTTCCGTTCCCCTCCCCACACCAGTGACAGTGACTGGCACCTTTTTATCTACAATAAAGCACTATGATAATTAAATAAATACCGTTATATTAAAGAGTTGTATATCTCAGTTAAAATCTATACAATTTATTTATGTGAGGGGCGGCACGGATAGATGTGTTGTCATCTGAGAATGAGGTGCTTTAAGAATAAATATGTAGTTGTGTATATCATTCATTAGGTATTAATTTGGCATCTTCTTGATGGCATGTGGCTCACAATCAAAGTGGCTTGTGAAGCCATTTGGGTTGGCCACCACTGGTCTATATTATATTGTTTTGTATTATATAAGAATTTGAATGTATAATTAATATTTCCTTTAACTATTGTACTACAGTTAAACCCAATTTAAACAATGCAGAGCTGTAGCAATGTTTATCATTTCAGAAGTGTTATTAGTAAAAATGGGCTTTAAAATTTTTGCAATAATAGATAAAACAGATAAAGAAAACAAAAGTAGATAAGTTGAATAGATAAATAATTTAAAAATACTGTAAAATATAAATACTCCAAAAATGTTGATGGAATGATTTTAATCTGGTCTTTTAGGTCTCATCTTTCCTAATGGGGTTAGCTTTCGACACTACAGAACATAGTTGAGTATCAACATATCAGAGAGGAAGAAGTGCATATTAACAAGTTCTGACTCAGCACACTGATACAGTATTACTGTTGACAAACAGCTGTTCAATTAAAGGGGTTGTTAGGTAGTGTTCTACCTGTTGGCCCACAGCTAAGGTGTTGTGTGTTTACTACCTGCTGGCCCATGGCTGGGTACCATTTTTATAGAGTCATATTGCACACCGATTTAATTTTTTTTTGAGAGCCTGGAACTAACGGTGAATGTGAGAGTAAGAGTTTATAGAACATTATTTCAATTGCATCATAAACTTCATTACCATTTTGTAAATAAATATTTTTCATTGCTATGTTCAGTTTATTCTTTCTTTCTTTGTGTTGTTAAATTGGGAGTTTCAAAATGAAAAGTTAAAAAAAAGTTGAAATTAAAAATGAAAAGCATTCCATTGATATACTGTGAATTTTATTAAACATTATATTGGAACAGAAATGCCAATTAACATAAGTTAAGTATAGTTGTGATTAAGACAATAAGTGAAAAAAAAACCCACCCTTGTTAGTATCCTGTACATGAAAATCTACTCTGCTCTGATTAGACATTCACATTCTAAGTACATGCCAACAGCCCTGAAATTATTATCAACAAACTCACATGTCATTTATTATCTATTCACCAACACTTATTTGATTAAATTTTAAATATGACAGAAAGGTTGATCTAGCTTCAAAATGTATTTCGTATAAGGATTTAATTAAACCCATTAACATCTGAACCAGCAGATGGACCATAAAGTGCTTGGGTGGTCAGCTGCTATCATTGATTGGTCATCAAATGAAATAAACAAGTGATAACTTTAAAAGAAATTGTATAACTGTAGAAACTATTTGTATTTGATATAGTAATATTATGGTGTAATTTTATTAAGACAACCAGTGTGTTTTAAGATCATTTTCTCACCCGTTGAATACAACTAACCTACTTTTAACTAATATTCCTCTTTTAAGCTATGAATTAAAAAAGAAAACATTTAAAACATCAAATGTAATGGTAATGATATTTCAGTGTTGGTGAAGCATTGAGATTATTCTAATTTTCTTCCACAGGTGAAGAGTGGTATAATGTTTCCACCTCTAAACAAACTGCAGTAAAAATGAGCACTTGTAAAATTAATAGAAACAAGTCAATGTCTTTCTACAAGTATTTCTACTAGCCCCATAAGAGATCACCTTACTGTGTCCACACTATAGAAGTAAATTATGAGATTAAGTTATGTAAAAACATTTATCAAAGTATTTCAAATACATTAAAACACTGTGGCACAACTACTGAAAAGCCATTTGGGCATTGCTTAGACTCTAAGAGGCTCATAGCTTTAATGGGTGGAAAAAATCAGTTACATCAATTATTTACAGATACAGCTTTTTTTTTATTATTAAAATTTTGTGGAATTTAATTTGTACCTTGTTTCATGTTAATTTTCGTAAGTGCCATATATATTTTAAAAGTACCATAGATAAACTTCTAAGAAATGAGATTAAGATACAATATGATAGTACTTAAGATAACATCTTTATGCATATCCTCGGCTCTAAAATCCTTTTTAAAAAAAGCACACTTAAATATTACATACAAACAATTTGAATATATTTATAAATACAGACATACATGTTCAGTTGTATAATTATCATGGGGCCAACACTGCTTACAGAAACTTTGATCATATAAGGTAAAATTTTAATATAAGTATTGGCAAGATATAACTGCTGGACTTCTGCATAATCTGGAAGAGAATCTAATTATGGATGTCTCAATTAAAAACACAACCATTTAAACATGTCATAATTTCATTCACAAAACTTACATTAAGTGATCGGACGGAACTAATTCAAATATGAAAAAAGGCTACCAGCCACAACAGCTAAGATGTTATGACAAATAACTGTCATGATGGCAGGCTGTTGTAATCTAAAAATAGATCGGTGGTAAGTACATTTATTTGTGGTATAAAATGGATATTGTTATAAATATTTTGAACCGTCATTGTTATGAATATAACTTGTATTATAAATAGCACAACTCATTGCTGTGAGCAGGCAGTACAGGGATAAGAAAGAAGTGATAGTAAAATATATACAGTTTTGGACGGTTTTAGCAGATAAAAATATCAGTGATGCCGCAATACACCAGTTAGTCCCCAAACTCTTGGCCTGAAAGCATTACATGAAGAATTTAAGTAAATGGCAGAATTTTGATTATGTTATTAAAAGTTAAAATACATCAATAATTATATGTATATAAAATTTTAATTCATTTATAATCCACCAGGAGGTCTCATTAAACTAAAAAAAAATAGCCACACATGGGCTATATGCTGGGGACCTCTGATATGTATGAAAAAAAATTGCATCAGATTATGTATGATAAAATATAATTGTGATACATTTTATAAAATAGGTAGGTTTTAGTACAGAAAATTATTTTAGTTTACCCTACAAATATTCCCACTTATAGTTGATTAAAAATATTTCCACAAATCTAGACAAACACGCCCACTCCCAGCATTGGTTGCTTCTCTGTGTCGTTATACACAGCCAAAGTTTGTGCTTTACACATGTTCATCTTCATAAATACATATTTTTGTCTTAAAATATACTTAAAAGCTGATCCTATAATAAAAATTAGTAATAAACTCTTTGAATAGGCTACTAAAGGGGATTTTTCTTGTCATGTCTGTCCCTATTAGAGACAAACTCGAAACTTCGAAATTACAAAAAATATGCTTTAGGCCTCAGTTTGAATTTGTACTTTTTGCAATCATAATTAAAGCTAAAAATATATTTTTTAATTTATATAAATTGTTTGTCTCATTACTTTTATTGCATAGTCAAAAATTTATTAAAATAGATTTTAAAAAGACAACACCAACAAAAATAATGTCTTAATTGTCTTGTAATTATTCAACAATTTCTAGATTAAACATTTAGTTTTCTTAAACAAATTTCCTTTTATATTTTTTTAAGCAGTCCCAAGGGTCTGTTTAAAGAACCTCGCTATATTTAAGTGAACATGAATGTTGTAAGGAGGCAGAATTTTAATTTTTGGTCTTGAAAATATTATAATGACTTCACCAAATCAATTTTCACAGAATGAAAAAAAAATTAAAAAAGAACACTTGCAAAACTTCCAAACATGTCTATAAAATATTGCTCTGGTTAAAACACAATATGAATGATTAATGTTAACAAGATCAGATTTAAGATTTTCATAATTTCTCACACAAGTTATTAATGAGTTGAGGTACAATAAATGTAAACAGTGTGGACTGCTTTAGGTATTACACAATATTTTGATTAGTTTTCGGAAAGGCAAACGATATTACAGTTATGTCAGACGCAATATTTGCGCTTCAAAATATCAAAGTAATCATTGCTGGACTGGGCTAGAGAGGATGAAAACCTTGGTGCATCTTTGGTTGTTCTTAGAACTGGTTTCTTCAAGTCATGGGGAGCTGTAATAATAAAATAGAATGAAGTAATTTTTTACATTAATCACAAAATAAGAGAATTTTTAGAAATGTATTTTTATAATAAATGTCTTGATAAAACTAGAAAATTTGTGATGTGTAACCCATCTTTGAAAAAAAAGTTTTGAAATGAAGTTTTGATTTAAAGGCAAGAAACATTATGATGTTTACATGGTTGATTAATTAATATTGATCATAGCGGGTTAACCAGTTACATTACATAGTTAAAAGGGAGCTAAGACTTGTCATGATGAAAAAAGAAAGAAGGATTGTTATTTGTTTTGACATAAAAATAAGTTTGCATATATCACACATCACAGAAATGAGGAATGGGGTGGGTGTAGCAGGTCTGACTTTTGGGGAATCAAAAATGACCAACTCTGAGTGATATAAGATGTTCAGTAACCCTGATATCCCCCAAGCTACAGACTGATCTCCCTCACAACTTACCAGCTTCTAAATGTTTGGCAATGCTCCTATCAAGCTCTGCTTTAATCTTATTGCTGAGGTCATCATCTTCAAAACCATTGACCCTGGTTATGTCAAAGCCGTTACTGACCACAGAGCTGTTCAGATTGCCTATACTGCCAGTTATTCGACTGCGGTGATGTCGTTCATTGCTGAAAGAATGGAAAATAAAATTTTACCAACAATTAAAAAAAAACCCAATAATTTTAGAAGGCGATATATCATCATCATCAGTGGTGCTACAGCCCATAAGGAGCCCTGGCCTGCTCCAACACATCCTTCCATTCGGAATGATCCATGGCTTTTCGCCTCCATGCGCGAGCCCCCAACTGGTGTAAATCCTTCTCTACATCGTCGATCCATCTCACCTGGGGCGACCGGTGGGTCGTCTGCCCCTAGGTTTCTGCCTGTATATCACTGCTGCAGCTCTACATTCTGGCGTCCTTTCAATATGTCCTGCCTAGCGCAGTCTGCCTTTTTTATTATTTTTGTGTCTATGGGTTATCTTTGTACAATTGGTATAGCTCTTGGTTTGTAGGGATTCTACAGATATCATTTTCCATCACTGGGCCATATATTTTTCTGAGTATTTTCCTCTCCCATGTATTGAGAAGGTTCTCTCCTTTTCTGTAGGGATCCAAGTCTCACTAGCATAAGTTACTACTGGTCTTATGATAGTGGTTTTTAGTGTCTTCTTTGTTCCCCTTGAGAGGTTTTTGCTTCCCAGTAGCTTTTGTAGGCTGAAATAGGAACGGTTGCCTGCTGTTATCCTTTTCACCTCCGACATTATTTCATTGTGCTCGTTTATAGTTGCCCCTAGATATTTGAATGTCGACACTCTCTCAAATTTGTGGTGGTTTATATTGATGTTGTCATCAACGTGGGAGTTTTGTGACATTATAACATATAAGAAGGCGATACTCAAATTCAAAATATTAATTATAACTTTTGTATGCACAGTACAAATATACTAAACTGTGATCCTAAAAACATGAGGCCACATGTATATTACAGGAAGTTGTTGTCTTGCTAAGCAAAGTGTTGATAATATAACATTACCCTGAATCATTATAGTAAGAACATTTTGAAATACTAAAACTCAAACTGAAAAAACAGCATTAAAATTTAAGTTTTTACATTTCCATTTGGCATTTATCCCAGAAACTAATATTTAAAACTGAGAGCCCCTCGTTGAAACTTACTTGAGTTTAGATTTGAGGTTAAAACTTTTCTCGGTGGCAAGTGTAAGTTGGTCACTAACCCTCAGTCTCCACTTCATTTCAGATTCGTAGAGCTCTCGGAATCGTTTAACTTCCATTTCCTTGGTCTCCCTCTGAGCTAAAGCTTGCTCATATTTGACACGCAGGTTGTTGTTCTCTTCCTTTAGAGTTAGAGCAAAGTAGAGTACATTAACAATTAAATTATTTCACAAGCCTTACATTTGGTTACGTCCCTTTAATGCAGTTGTACAGCTTGCTTGGTTGCCTTTACCACCTTAACCAAATTATGGGTTTCATCTAATGAAGAATTTATTTATTTTCAGACATTGATCAATTCAATTAGGCTTCCGTATAAAAAAAATGCGATAAATATACATAGAATGTGTTTTGAGATAGGCTCTAGATCAGTGGTTCTCAACCTTCCTAATGCTGCGACCCTTTAATACAGTTGCTCGTACTGTGGCTACCCCCAGCCACAAAATTATTTTCGTTACTACTTCAGAAATGTCGAGTATTGTGTTTTCTGATGTCCTTAGGTGACCCCTGGGAGAGGGTCGTTGGACCACCCCCAAAGGGGCCGCGACCTACAGGTTGAGAACCACTGCTCTAGATTAAAGAACAAATAAATGTGATATCTGGATTAATTACGTTTAAGTGATACTGTGAATTGTTTATTATTCCCAGTTTGTCCTTATAATAAGATAAATATTGGATACTATCATTATTTTTGTTTTTATTATCAAACTTTATTATTAGTTAATATAAGGTTTCATGATACATTTCCAATAAAATATTTTAAACAAATAAAATGCTCTACATAATCCTTTCAAAAAAATATATATTAAAAAAATATAGAGCTCAACACCATTTGTCCTAAATAAATTTAGTTTGGAGGTTAAATAATCCCCTGTGACATCACTTACACTATACAAACTTATGCTGTACAAACTTATGCTATACAAACTTATGCTGTACAATCTTATACTATACCTCAAGTTTTCTCTTATCAAACATCAGGCTAGTCTCTAGATCTGTCCTGGATGTGTCCAGCCGGTCTCGCATCTGCGACTGTGATTCTAAAAACCTGTTTACATCGTCCAGCTTACGGTTCAGCTCCATGCGATATTTGGCTTCCAGTTCACTTTTCATGTCTTCAATATTTGCTGAACCTTGACTCTGAGACATGAACAAATCACCATTACCAAATTGCAAAGTTGATTATGACTTTAAAAATTTTTTGACAACAGTTGGTCAATGAATAATCATATCGACTGATGATTATTAATACAATTACGTTATTCTCAGTAAAATAATAGAAACTGATAAAAAAAAATTAACTAAATATACAATTTTTGTAAATAACATTTCCATTTGTACTGCTGAAGGCATTTTGGAAAATCTTGGTACATTATGAATAGCAGCTACAAAGTTCACAAGTTACACATTTCTTGATACAAAGACAAAAGTAAGTATATTGGATGTTTGAACTGAGAATAACTCAGTGATAGAATGTAAACTATTATTTGCATCCGTATAAATTAGTGACAAGATAAATTTATATGCTTTTTTAAAAAATTTCATGGATACAACCTGTTTTTAATTGGACAAAATCAATATTTTTAAAATAAAAAGTTTTGTTATAAGAGGAGTTAACTTCACTGTCACAGACATCACTAATAGTAAGCACAACACACACACATGAAAAAAACCTTTTAAACAGGAAAGAAGCCACTAGAATATTATGTTGAATTATCAAATATGAAAACATTATTTCAAACCAAGGAATTAGTGTAGAGAAAATCATGTGCATAAAGTGTTTAAAAAAATGTAGGGTTGTTGGTCTATCTAATGGAATTTTTAAGTAGTTTTCTTCCAACTTTTAAAAAATAGTTTTAGTAAAATAATTTTCTGCTGCTATTTTTTTTTTACAAACATTTTCAAGATCAGCTTTGTTATTATGAGACAGGCTTTTTAATGATCACAAAAAAACCAGGAGGCAATAAGTGTCACATTTGGTGAACTTTGACATCTAATAATGTGAGGTTTGAGGTCTCCTGTTTGATCTACAACTGTTCAAGTTAAAAAGTAAATGTTATTTTCAATATGCCATGGTGAAGTGAGATGAACCACCCTTAGAAAACTCAAAGGATTTCCAGCAGCATGGCAAGTCTTGATGACCTTAGCTCCACTTAGAAAAAAAGGAGAGGGCTGTAGATGATTATGGACAGATTCTATTAATAAAAATATAAAAAATAGACATAACCTCATACAGTATTTTAATTTTAAAACAAAATAAAGTAGAAGGCCAAGGAATTTATAAAATAAGATAACTGAAAGCAATAGTCTTTAAGGGTTGGTAACTATGATTGCAATAAAAAGAAAAGAAATGAAGACAAAGATGCTGCATTAAACTACATTGTATCAATCAGAGATAAGGGAGATTAGAACAAATATGATTAAAAGTTGAAATAAAGTTCATCTATCAGGTCCAGCGGAGGAAAAAAAATTCGGAGTTTAAAAAAAAAAATGTTTAAAAAAATTTTTTTAAAAGAAAATATTTTGACAATAAACTTTGAAGTACATTAAAATCATTTTATACTCCTGAACATTTTTTAAATACAATATCAATTTTAAAAAGCAAACGAAAAAACTAGTGAAATCATACCTGAAAACCTTTTTGGATTACAATCCTTAGTAATTTTTCAAAGATTTGACATCACAGCATACCATTTTTATTATCACCAATAACCCACCCTGGTTAACAAAGTATTTTTAACTCTATGAAAGTATATACATAACCAATGTTTCTTGATAAGAAAGAAAATGACTCCAGCTGCTCAAGCAGTGAAATTACTGTTTAAATTTTATGTTAAGACCAAAGACCATGTTTTGTTTTCATGCAAGGATTGGAATGTCAAAAAGGTTCAAACTTTTAAGGTATGAAGGACATACAAAGTGCAATTTTAGTACTAAAACTACGTGGCAAGGTGCAGGATAGAATCTTCAACACAAGCTTTGTGTACATCAAGTCTAGAAAGAAGCCTGACTATTTTTGTCTGTTACTCTCCACTACCTGGTTTCGAGGAGTTGACACAAAGATTTCTTTACTTGAAACATCTTTTTGGAACTCTGTATATTGAGGATCTAATGGAGAAAACTCTCTGGTTTCCTAAATGATGAATTTATTATTTATTAAGCCACTACAGTTATATATAATTATTAAACCACACACTCCAACAATCCAGTGAACCCTTAGATTTGAGCCAGGCAAGTAGCTTAATGAGGTCCTCATTGTTAGTTCATAATTCAACCTTTTCTAATTATGCATTAGGAAATGTTTCGCTCTTTAAGAGAAAATATTTTCAATTATCCATATTATGTTCATTTATTCTTAAACAGAAGCGTATTAAATAAAAGTCAGAATTAATATATATTTAAATATTACTTTGCTGGTCTGAAAGAGCAAATTATAAAATGCTTGTAACAGTAATGGTATGTAAATTTTAGGAGAACATAAAAATACTTTAGGTGTTGCCAATGTCATCTTAGTTTAAAGACCAAACGATCATTGACACCGAGAAGACAAGCTTCAAAAGATAATTTAGTAATTAGCAGAAAACTATGAATTTAAAAAATGCAAGACAATAAATACACTAATATAGTTATTAAATTATATTTATATTTGTCATTCCAACAAAATGTTAGATAGAAGATCACAATTAGACACATTGTGACTTTGCCCGTGTGCTGTGGTGCATGATTCCAAAGGCATAATATCAAAGTGATGTAGCTCATCATGCATACAGGAACAAGTGACCTGACAACCTTTTGTTTACATAGAAAATAGATCTACAGACTTTTAATGAAGTTGTTCTGGTGATCTCCAGACTTTCACTAAGCTAGTTTAGTTTAGGGATCTCTAGACTTCACATAGCTAGTTTAGGGATCTCTAGACTTTTACTTAGGTAGTTTAGGCATCTCTAGACTTCACATAGCTAGTTTAGGGATCTCTAGACTTTCACTGAACTAGTTTAGGGATCTCTAGACTTTCACTTAGCTAGTTTAGGGATCTCCAAACATTCACTGAAGCTGGTCTTGGGATCTCCAGAATTTCACTCAAGTTGGTCTAGGGATCTCTAGACTTTCACTTAGCTAGTTTAGGGATCTCCAAACATTCACTGAAGCTGGTCTTGGGATCTCTAGAATTTACTCAAGTTGGTCTAGGGATCTCTAGATTTTCCCTGAAAGTGGTCTCGAGATCTCCAGACTTTCACTCAAGTTGGTCTAGGGATCTCTAGACTTTCACTTGGTCTAGTTTTTCACCGAAGGTCTAAATTTCATTCTGCTTCTTCAAAGAGCATGACATGCCAAGCTGATTTTTTAAAAACTTTATGAAATATAGATTACATTTTTTTTTAAAGATCTTGCAAGGTAAAGATATACATTAATAACAATGTATCTATGGAGATGTATAAAGTATCTAATGATTATGATAAAATGAATGGATTTCACATAAGAGCACATAATGAGAATAATGTTTTATTTTTTTGAAGGACGCGGAAGAAGAGGTTGAAGGAAAATAAAGGGGGGGGGGGGGGGTTTTTTTTTTTTTTTCTTCACTCGTGAGCAAAAATAAGAAGCTAGTTATTATTTGACAATTTTAAATGATTTAGGTTCAAGGTTAGACCTTCCTATTTCTTCCAAATTTAAATATTAAATTCTTATTGATTTGTATAAAAATAAACTTTAAAAACATTAATTTAAATTTTTATTTATAATAAGCTTTGCCACTGTTTAAAAAGATAGCGACTGACTGGTTTAGCAGAGTCTGCATAGCAGTAGCAATCATGTATGTTAAATAAAGTTTTGTGATCTGCCACATAGTCAAAGTAGAAATGCAATATTTTTTTAGTTATCAGCAGTTTCATAAATTAATCAGTTTAAAGCAGTACAAGTTGTTGATATGATGAAAATGTGGAAAGTCCAAATGATAATTTGATTTCAGCCTATTAAGGAAATAAAGTCAGTTAGATTGAATAAATTCTTTAAAATGGAAGTTGGAATAGTTCAAAATTTTTAATTTGGTGTGATATCACTGCTGAAGTTAGTTACACTATTTGTACCAAAGACTAAAATAAAAAAAAATAAAAAAAATTATCAAATGTTTACAATGTTCCCTAAACACATGATCTTACTCTCAGAATTTTCTGTTTTAGTCAAAGAATGAACAAGATTTTTAAATGGAAAAAAAGAAACTGATCAAGTGAATTTGTGTTACCGTATATACTCACATATGAGCCGAATTTAGAACTATAAAATACTATACTGAAATCAGGGGGGTCGGCTTACATGCGCATAAAACAAAATGTACACATGGACAGACACTAATGCCAATTTTCCCGCCACACATTTTCATCGCTATCTGACTCTTTATTTGGTTGTGTGTACAGAGTAATAGACCTCTAATATATATATATATACAGATATTATTATAGCAAACAATGTGGAAAGAGCAGAACATGTTTTTGTGTCATTCCAAAAGGTAAACAAACTGGTATGTAACATAAAAGTGAGCATTTTACATCTTTGCAGTAACAAATTTCTATGAACCAAAAATATGGAGTAAAATTAGACCATTGTATGGTCGGCTTATATGCCGGTTTTTGCAAAAACTGGCCATTTTAAAGCAGTTTTAGGGGGTCGGCTTATATGCGATGTAGGCTTATATGCGAGTATATACAGTAAGCATTGTGTGGCTAGTTGTCTTATCCATCCATATTCTCAACTTCTGTCAGATCATACCTTTATTTTGTTTTTAGCAGATTTCAGATGATGTTTAAGTGAATTCATATCCTTCTGTAATTGGTGATTTCTAGAAATAAAGAATGCAATAAGATTAATGTATATAAAATATGTATGTTTTAGTTTTTGGGAGATTATTCTTTTATTAGAACGCTTGATATTGTGAAGGGAAAGAGTTTTGGGGAGGTCTACAAGAAGAATTAAACTTAGATTGGTGCCTTCCAGAAGTCTATAACATTGTCTGTTGGACTTTAAAAAAAAAAGGGCAATCCAGTTTTATTTAAAACTGTGAAGTTAGAAAATCAGATTAAAAAATTTGCACAGCTAAAATAAAAATCTTTTTAAACTAATATAAAAACATCTAATCTCATAAACAAAAATAAGTAAAATCCTCCATACTTTTCTTTCTCTGCCTCCAACTGAGACTCCAGGTATCTTAGTTTTTCATCCGCCATTTGGGCTCGATTCTTTTCCTAGACAAGGAATATAAGAAATATCTATGAAATTTTTAGACCTTACAAGCTTTTAGGATCTAACAATCTTACCTAAGGGCTAATCAAATTTTACATTATGACAATCATTCAAAAAGTAGAAATAAGGATTGTGGTAGGACTGCATTAAAAATAACAAGTAGTTTAAAGCTTTGAAGAAAAGACAAGGGTTAAGCTGTTTTAACGCTAGATACTCGTATATTTTGACTGCTAAACACACAGCTTGTATATAAAATGTTCATTGACCTATTTTTGTCTCTAGGAAAGCTTTGACCTATTTTCTAATCTGACAATTATTTTACATTTCATTATATACCGCTCTCTGATTAATTTTAACTCTCAACAGAACCTCCACATGAGGACCATCAATAATCACACACTCACCTCCCCAAGTTTGGCATCTGAAGAATGTTTATTCCTCTCTAAGTCAGCTATCTGCAAAAAAAGTAATCTGGAGTTTAAAAAATGTAGAAACATTTTTTTTTATTAGTTAAGGGAAAGTGAATGCAATGTTTGGAGATCTGAACTCTAAAATTAAGTTGATTTAAAAAGTCTATGTTTATAAAGAAAGAACAAAATGTTCTTCATGTTTAATTTAAATTTAGATTGCTTTACAATTATCATCAAGCTTTGCTTGTTTAGTGTTAGGGTTTGTAGAATAAAGTGAAGTATTTGGGCAGTCTAAGTTACAACAACATGATTTAAACAATAAATTATGAACTATATTTGAATGTATAAGATGTGAATTCAGAGCAGACATTTAAAGAATAAAAATTTGCAAAGGGAAGCATGAAAACAATTTTAGTTCAAAGTATTAGAGGTCAAGATTAATTATTTATTTTAAAAAAAAATGAGCAGACTATTTATAAAAAATCAATCATTATTATTTGTAGATAAATAGTATTCTGTTAACTTAGTACTTTTTGACACATGCTATTACTTTCTAACATTACAGTTTTTAGCACACTACAATAAATGTCCACAAAACAACCTGACATTTTAGGAGTGATTCATCCACCATTCAAAGCATAACAAATATGTGGTGAGTGATATCAAAATAGTTTTTAAAAAATTGGCAGGAAAAACTTTAATAATATCATCACATATTATTTTTTTCCTTGGATATTTAAAGGTATGTGACTGAGACAATAACTTTAAATTGAATTCAATAAAGTTGCTAAGAAATCCTTTTAATTCAACCCAAATATATTTTATATATTTAGATCTAAATATATTCCAGAATAAAGGACTTCCAAAACTTTGAAAATATGTCACCAGATTAAGCTGAGTACCAAACTTTATCACTTGAGTATAACCAGAGCCTAGTCAGTTGTTGGCTCTAACATGGCAAAACAACAACAACAAACAACCAAAATAAAATCATTATGAATCATAGCCACTTTTCTGCCAAGCTTTAAAGGAGTGATTCATGCAACAGATCACCACATTTTGAGAACACAAACATTTTGTTGCCTGATTTTGATTATATTAATTATGCAGTAGAATAAATAAACTCATGCCAGTAATATTTCATGCAGAAGAAAAATACACTACTTTGGTCACATGACCTTTTTTTAAAATGATTCATTCAACTTAACATTATAAACTTTTGGCCACGCATAAAGATTCATTGCTCTGTGAATGTGACACATGCAAAACTAAGTGATCTTGACTGTGATGCTACACAAATAAAAAAATTAATGTATGAAGAGAACGTGTGTAAGTTTCACTCTTTTGGCTTGCTGGTGCATTCTGGGCAATTCATATCTAGTACACATCAATCACTCACCCTTAAACCCAACTTAGACCTTGATTTCATTTCAAGGTCATACAAATTTTTGTGATCACGAGCTTCTGCTTCGTACATCACACGAGCAGCTATCTCCTCCTAGATAAAAATAAATCCCCATATTTTACAAGGCTGTCTCAGGTGTAAAAAAAACAACAAATTCTTTAAATGTTTAGACAGATGTAATTAAAATACAAACAATCAAAGCACATTTTAGTAAGTATGTTTGGAGCTCAGCTGAAATTTATCAAAAATAAATTCCCAGTTAGTGCAACATTAGTATAACAGTTGTTCATTGAAAAATTTGAAAATAATTTCTTAAAAATCTCTTTTTAATGATTTTTTTTAAATTTGAAGAATGTAAACTTTTGCACATATTTAAAAGCATTTCAACACTTACTTTTAATAGAGTACAATAAATATATTTTTTTCAACAGCTATCTGCTGTATTATCTGTAACCTTATTTTAAAGAAATATAGCGTTGATATATGATTTTCTAAAATAAATAATCTGAAAATTAAGATAAAGTTATAATAGATTTAAGAAAAAAAGCTGAGCTGATCATTTTGTCAAATTAATTTGTGTTAAGAATTACATGACTAAATGGGCTGATTATTCTGTGAATTAGCCATGTATGCCATAAGGGCCAGTCTGCTATGTATGCCATAAGGGCCAGTCTGCCATGTATGCCATAAGGGCTAGTCTGCGATGGATGCCATAAGGGCCAGTCAGCCATGTATGCCATAGGGCTAGTCTGCCAAGTATGCCATAAGGGCCAGTCTGCCATGTATGCCATAAGGGCCAGTCAGCCATGTATGCCATAAGGGCCAGTCTGCCATGTATGCCATTAGGGCCAGTCAGTCATGTATGCCATAAAGGCCAGTCTGCCATGGATCACTACAGATATTGACAAACAGAAAACGTAAACACACAAAACCAGTAATAGAAACTTGCTGAAATAGGCAAAATAAAATTACAAAAGAATTTTTCCATAGGAATTGGGTAGAATGAGGAAAACATAAACAGTTTAGTTATCTCAGTCATCAATATATTTGAGAGGACGGTTCCTTTTCCCTTAGAACAAGCTGTAAGCTTTGTGTAGTAGTATTAGAGCTGCAGAGACCAGTAAGGTCTCAAGACCAGTAAGAATAAAATATAACTTACTTTAATTAGATATTTAGATTAAGGATAGGTGTTAAAGGTTTAATAATAAAAAACAGTTATTACATTTTTAGTTGGACACAATTATTTTAAAAATGACAACACTAAATATCACATTTTCCCCCACAAATCTACTGAGAAAGGTTCGAAACTCTTTCCTCCTCACTTTTTCTGTTCAAATATATACATATATATTTTATAATTGGGGCACATTTGACTGTATGTAACCAAGCAAACAAGACCCTAGGGTTCTTAAGGCGAAATCTAAAGATTGGCAACTCCTGTGTGAAAGAAAGAGCATATAAAGCCTTTATCCGTCCGATTTTAGATTATGCATCTTCAGTCTGGGACCCATTTACCCAGAAGAGCATTGACAGGTTGGAGGCGGTCCAGCGACGAGCAGCACGCTTTGTCCTAAACCGCTACAGGAATACCTCAAGTGTTGGCAGCATGCTAGAAACACTAGGCTGGTCACCATTGGAGAAACGACGACGACAATCCAGGCTCTCCATGATGTACAAGATAAATAATGGGCTGGTCCACTGTTCCAGTATTAAACAGAAACTCGTACCTCTCCCCCATAGACAGCGACGAGGCCATGACAGGCAATTCAGGCTCATACCAGCAAGAAGCCAGTATAGGAGCTGCTCATTCCTGCCCAAGACAATCAGGGACTGGAACAATCTTTCAAAAGGAACGGTTGAGGCGACAACACTAGACACATTTGTGTCTATTGCCTCAAGCCTTCAAACCCCCAGTGCATGATTCCCTCACAAAGTGGCACTGGAAATCTGTGAAATTTCCTCAACACCAGGAACAGAAACATTGCAAATCCCATCTACATGCATAGGAGCCAAAATGATCAATAAATTGATCGTGGGCCCTTAAGATATAGAAGAAGAAGAAGAAGAAGAAGACTGCTGCTGACCGTAAATGTCAGGTCCCTCAGCACAGAGTTTCCCAAACATTCAAGTTTGGCGGACCAGTGGACAAGTTTCGAATTTTCACCAGGGAACAGTGCCAGATTTAAAGATTATAAAATATTCTTTTTCTTTGACAACACATATGCAATTTTGAATAATCAGTTTTTTAAAATGTTTTCTACTTCCATTACTGGGTCTGATTCATAAACTTTTTATTTCAATCAATCTTTTATCTCTTTTCTGAACTGACATTTATTCTCTAAGCCCTCCCCTCTCCCACACCAAGTAATTGAGTACTTGTATTTAAGACAGCAATGTTTATGTGACTGTTGGCCAAACCGGGACTGAGTGCTTATTCTTTAATTTTACCTAATATAATTTTATTTCTATGTCATAAGCCAGTGGAGAAATATAATTAAATAGAAAAACAAGGTATGTGGAAGCTTGAAATAGAAAGACAGGGCAATAATGAGAAACATAAGCCTTTTCAGTGTTTGAGAAACAGACTTGGGGCTACTGCACTAATCAAATAATGGGATTAATTTTAACATATTCTTGTTACGATTATCAATGTAAAAAAATGTATCTAAGATGATGACTAAGCGTAAAACTAATGGAAAATGAAATAGTTTCTATTGACTAAAGATTTATGGAGAGTACAAATGAAATTTAATTTTTAAAGAGCTAAAAGATACTGGACAAATGGAAACAAATAGAAGACACAAATAGTACACAGTGTCATATTCAAAAAAAGTTTGAAAAAAAACTAAACTTTCAGATAGGATGAGATTAAAAACAAATTATTCCAAAAAACACTAATTGTTAACTTCTATTAAAGATCTTTTGATGCTTGTTAAAGACAAAAAAATGCAAGTAAAAGAAGCTGATCATTTTCAAAAAGCCAAAAAGAAGTTAACGTTGATTGCTTATCAGAGCTACAATAACTGATTTCTTGATTTTAATTAAAGATCAATAAAAGCTAAATTCTCATATCTAGCCATGATCTAATAAAAGCTAAAGCCAAAAGCTAATATATGTATAAAAAGCTGGTTTCTGGTGGAAATGAAAAGCCTATAATTAAAGACTCACTTCAAGTCTACTGTCTTCATATCCATTTTCTGACTGAAAACAGAAACTTACGTTACATGGATTGGAAGACAAGGAGAAATGCATTTCATTTATAATCAAGTAAGTATATTTTCATTATTGTTTTTTTAAATTTTTTTAAAAACAATCTCCCACACCCATAGTAAGGAAAAAGGCAAAGAAGTAAGTTTAAAACAAGTAATGTCATTTAGAGAGGCAAATCTCTGTGTGCACTCACCCCAAGCCTGTCCTCTATGTGCGCTGATGATGACTTCAGATTGGCACACAAGGCTTCAAGGCTGCTACGAACCTGGAACATGAAATTAAAGAAAACCACAACTTAATTTGCCATTTATACTTAAATATTTAGGAGTTCTTAAATACAAACTAAGTGTAAAGATCTATATTTAACAGAATCAACATTTAAACTTATTATTTTAAAAAAAACATCTTTAATTGTAGGCTTATAAATGCTTTTTAGGTGAGAATTGCATAAAAATATAGCAGCTGAAACATTTAGGAAAAACTTGTTGATGATAAAAAAATGAAGTTTTTGTACCTCTTATACATTTAAAAAAATTTTAAGAATAGTGTTTTAAGAATTATGTCATAATGGATTATAAAAATATTCTTTAGTTTGAAATGTGGAAATGCAGATATTCAAATAAATGTCATAAATTCTAAAATTATTTATTGGCTTATTTTCCAATTCATAACGCAATTAAGTGACCTAAAATAGCTCATCAGGGTTTCGGAGGATACGTCTACAGTGCATTGAAAGTAACAATGGACAAAAGGCAGACAAACCCTGATTTACAAGTACCGACTTACAATCTACAGAGTCCCTTTAAAACTCACCTTCTGAGAGTCCAGCAAGTCCTGATACAGCATGTCAGTTCCTCCATAAAACTCACCTTCTGAGAGTCCAGCAAGTCCTGATACAGCATGTCAGTTCCTCCATAAAACTCACCTTCTGAGAGTCCTGCAAGTCCTGATACAGCATGTTAGCCCCCTTATAAAACCGACCTTCTGAGAGTCCAGCAAGTCCTGATACAGCATGTCAGCCCCTCCATAAAACTCACCTTCTGAGAGTCCTGCAAGTCCTGATACAGCATGTCAGCCCCTCCATAAAACTCACCTTCTGAGAGTCCTGCAAGTCCTGATACAGCATGTCAGCCCCCTTATAAAACCCACCTTCTGAGAGTCCTGCAAGTCCTGATACAGCATGTCCGCCCTCTGCTTCTCATACTTGAGCTCTGCCTCTAGCTTGGTATTTTCTATCTGCAAATGTTGCATGCTCTCATCAAGCTGAGTCTAAAACATTTGGGAATGAAAGGAAAATAGCTTGAAAATTAAGCAGCCTAAATACATGCCATCAACAACAAGGGGCTGACAGTTGGATTTTGTGAGTTTTTAAGATAGCATGGCCTCACCAGAAATGTGTGCCTTTTCTTCATCTAATCAGTGGAGGATGGAAAGGAGTGATGCACATTACAAAATGGAGCCAAAATGATCAATAAATTGATCGTGGGCCCTTAAGATATAGAAGAAGAAGAAGAGAAGACAACGCCTCTCTTAGTTAGAGGTAGTTACTGTCCAGATGTACCAGGTGCTATCTCATCTGGAATACATTCTTCTTTACTTTGTTTTTGTCTGGTTTTTATTGCCCACTTCTATTTTTTCTCCTTTTTTTTAGGTAGGATATATGTATATATATATTATGTAAATTTAATTTATATTATGTAAATTTAATTTATATTATGTAAATTTAATTGATACTTATTGAAGTGTTTTGTTGTTGTACTGATGAAGGCGTGCGCCGAAACGTTTACTTATTTTGTGTTATGTTAAATTATTATTAAAGCTTAACATATATTGTTTTATTGACACAAATTGTTTGTGTCTAATTCATCTATTTTAAAGCTTTATCGCAGTCCAACACTTTTTATAATTAGTTAAAGGAATACAGGGGCCATCATCTTCATAAAAAAAAGTACAAGTCAAGGTTAAGGCCGTCACAACTGATCAGCTCACAGATAGCGTCAACGCTTCTGTTTGGTACCATGGTAAAAAAGTTTTTAATACATACAGACCCCCAAAAAATAACTGCAACTTTGTCCACCTAGAGAACAAACAATGCTCTAAGACCTTGATTGTCTGTGATTTTAATGGCCACTTCGCTCTGCCACTGTACAGTAACACATCACCTCTTCCACTGCCCAGCACTTCAAGGCTTTTTTCCTAAAATATCAACCAAAAATTCCAGGACAACACCCACACACCCTATAAACCAACAAAGAACAGCTGCCTGCGGAGAGTGTGTAAATTCTTTACTCTCTCCACAGGCTGTAGGGTATATTCTAAAATGGCCACTGGATCTGAATGATGACTTCACCCCATTAAATAGTGTCAAATAAATTAATTATTATAATTTCCCTACAACAATATGTACAAAATATAAATGTGCTCATATATTTTCACAATTTTGTCTAAAGCTTTGACTTTAATTTTTTCAGTTTTGTTTGTCTATTGTTGCTTGGCTGCTCCTCCAAAGGAACATCACCAAACGGTGGCTGAGGGTGGATGTGTCATAACAGCATGCAATACAAAGGCCCATTCTTTAATACAGACTAGTAAATGGGCCTATGTTTAACTTGGTCAGTCCTTACCTTTGATTTGGTCAGTGTTACCTTTGATTTGGTCAGTCCTTTACTTTGACTAGGTCAGTTCTTACCTTTGTCTTGGTCAGGCCCTGCATATTGGCTGATGTGTTGGCCAGCTGCTGGTTGCTATACAGAGATGTGTGCTCAGCCTTCTCCAGCCTGTCCACCAGTTCTGATATCCTGGCCTGGGACTCCACAGACTTGTCATGTGTTGACTGGTACTTATGCTGGAGTCTCTCCACCTCAGACTTCAGCTGGATCCTCTCTTGCTCAGCTTGTTCCTTGGCCTGTTGGAAATAAAACTGACTGTGTGCAGAGAGCTCTAAGCCACATTTTGTGTTTGAATCCAAACATTCTTAAACTTTAAAAAAAATATATATTCTCTATGAAATGGTAAATATTGATTAAAAGATGAATTAAAATTTTATGATTGCAATATTAAACTACAGAAATTATCTTTTATTGCCAAAGTTTGAAATTATCATAGATCTGAAGCCACAATTGTTTAGCAGGAATTTTAATATAATTTTTTTTTGTAAAATTAATGGAAGATGCTGTTGTAAGCTTTGAAGACCTTGTCATTTCCACAAAATTATACCGTTTTTTTTGTTCAAATCTGGATCATGAACAAAATATGCATCTAAGTCAGAGAGAAAACAAGTCATTGGACTAAATGAAGGAAAAAAATCTTCAACTCTTCTCATAACTAAAGATTCAGTGGTGGGGAGCCAATATAGAACTTTACATCTCTCAGGTGAGACACATGAGTGACAGTGAGCTTTCCTGAAAACTGTCCCTATAAACATGTCACTTATAATCTCATATCATATATAACAAATTGATATAAATTAATCATTAATAAATACACAAGCAGGTAATCCCCCCCCCACCCACCCCCCCCCCCCCCCCCCCGCAATCTGGAGAGATGCCTCAGTCTGAGACAACTTTTTGATCAAGGCGTTGTGTTCTTCCTGCAGTCTCTTGAGGTCCTGCTCCAGTGTAACTCTCTTGGCCTCGGCTCCCCTCACCTCCTCCTTCAGCCTGGCCACCTGTTCCACCAGGTTGTTGTTTTTCTCCTCAAGAGTGGCTTTGGCCTAGAAATAAACCAAATCTAATTCAGTCATGGTGTCAAAAGTAGGTCACGTGGAACTGATCTTAATACTGTTTAATTCTTTTTTTTTTAGTCAGGAATAAAACAACTTTCTCTACTATCCTTTTATTTAATCGTCATTCTTATTTAAGGAAACTCAGCAATCGATGTAAATCACTTTATTTTGAATATAATGAATATCTTAATGAAGATTGTCTTTGCGTAGGTTGTGATTAATTTCATATTTATAAAATGACATTTTCTTTTTCCTAAAATAAATCTGTTACTGAACACATCAATAAAAAAAGATCGCTATCTCTTTGCGCTTCTGGTTCCTCACCCTATCACTGTCTGCTCTGAGACTGGCCAGGATGTTGCTGAGCTTCTCATTAGCGTCAGAGCCCGGTGAGCTGCCGGCATTTAGTTTGAGGGAATCCAGCTGTTGGCGGAGTGAGAAGTTGTCCTGCTGCTGGGCGCTGACCCTTTTTTTTTTTTAGAAAAATAATTAAATGACTTTCAGGCAGTCAAGATTCGACCCCAACGTGGGAATGCACAAGGGTCATTTACATACCTATTGGGGATTTTAATTTTAACAATTTCACTTCTCACTGGACAGTAAAATGTTAAAAATCTGTTTTTGATTGATGATCTTCCATATTTTGTAATTAATCTTGGTACACAGAAAAAAAAAATCCTCTTTGCATTCTTACAGATGATTAAAAACATTTTTTACAAACCCATCCCTCAACCAACATAAGAGCAAAGGTTCACTCACTTGTCTTGCATATTCTCAACTTTAGCCTGCAGCTTGGCATTATTCTCCTAAGGGGATACCAAACAAGTTTTACGGCATCAACAAAAGTTCTTCTTTTGGACATAGGCGTTAAATATGACCCTGACATGGGGGTTGTAATAGTCTGTATAATATTTGATGTGTGACCTTCACCTTTTTTGAAATTTTAATTGTAACAACAGCAGCGATAAATAAAAAATAATCTTAATTTCAGGAACCGTCCCTATCAACCATGATTTTAAAATTTAAAACAAAAAAATATTATCATAAAAATTAAGCTTGTTATTTTTCAAATAATTTTCTCTATTTGTTTATTTGTTCTTTTCTTTTTCTTTTTTTTCCTCTAAATGTTCCTTTTCTTTCTAATAGTTAACTGTTACTTTATTATGCTGTCCTTCCAAGACAGTTCACAATTTATGTATTCAATATTTCCAGCTACCAGATCATCACCTACTTTTTCCATCCTGTAGTTTTGATCCAGGGACTCATGTGTTGATTTGTGTCTGTCTAGTTCCTGCTTGAGCTGCTGAAGCTGGGCAGTTCTCTCCATCAGGGAAGTATTGGAAACATGCAACTTGGGGGAGAAGAATGGACATAAATCAACACTGGCTTGATTATTTTTACTAACATGTTTTAGCATAAATTCCCTGACCTCATTTATTTATGAGCTATATTTAAATGTCATGTTTTTGAGAATGACAGCAAACAGGTTGCAGAATTGATCAAATAAACAGTTTGTCTTGCTGAATTCATTATTTTAAGTCAGATGACCCAAACAGATAGGAATGTTCAAAATATTCTTCATAATAAAATAAAGATATAAAGGGTTGAGAGTTTTAGGCTATGAATTATAGCTGCTCTTCTTGGCATTAGTGTTAGAATCTCTTTCTCATTCTTATATTGGCTTGAATTTTTGTCTATTCATGTTATGTTGTATTATAAGTTGTATCATTTTATCACTTAGCAATGGAAGAATAATAACTGAATAAAATTAAATTACAGTGAACACTAAAAGGCTTAAATATAAGTAAATAAAATTCACATGTTTTAGACTTTATTGGTCGTTGTGATAGCATTTTGCAATAAAAATTGCTTAATGGCAATCCTTCATCATTTATATTTAATGAATACATCAATTATTATGAATAAAGAAAAGCTATTTCTCTGCTGACCTCATTTTCTATGGTGTTGAGCCTGCCTTCAGTAGCATGAAGTCTTTGGTTCAGATGCTGAAATAATAAATTGAATACATGTTAGAACTCAACATTGTGTTTACTACCCTAAAATATTGCATAAAGCCTGCATGATACTACTTAAATTACTGTAAGTCAAAAGATTCCAGATTAGACAACGCCGCCACTAAATAACACTTAGAAAGGTCAAGAGGTTCTAGACAACTAAGCCATTATATAACATGTAGAAAGTTACAAGAGATTGTATTCTAGACAACTAGGCCACTATATAACATTTAGTAAGGTACATGAGTTTTCACAACTTTTATTGTTCACAAGCAGGATATTTAAACAGAATTTAAGAAAATACTGACCTGATTATCATCCTTTAACGCAGTCACCTCCCCTGATTTCCTTTCCATTTCTTTGTTCCACAATTCTTTTTCTCGCCTGTGTTCTCTGTTGAAATGTGCACCAAATAAAACTTAAAACTGACATGACTCATAACACACATAAAAAAAAAAAAAAATAATTATAAAGAATCCACAACATTGCATTAATTAAAGCTGTACAGCTCAATATCGTATCAATCTCATACCAATCCAAATCATAATCAAAATGTCAAAGCAAATGATCTTGATGATCATACCCTACAAATAACTTCAGATTAATTATATTGATTAGGAAATTGGTAACATTAAAATAGGCAGCTTATGTCCGCACCTTTCTAATTCATTCCTGGCACTGATTGCCTTGTCCATTTCATGATTAGTACTGAGCAGACGAGTCTTGAGTGAGTCAATCTGAGGAGACAATGATTATTTTTAATATTAGTTCAGACTTCACATAGTTTAACAAGGAATCAGTCTTCTGTACCTTTACAAATGGCCACATCCACTTAGGATGGCCTTGAGGTTCATACATAACCAGGTGATAAGAGATTATGATGGTCAAAAATGATTTGTGAGACAGAAACAGAGATAGATACTGAGATGATCATGATGGCTGTGGATGGGACTAGTCACTATAGACGTGTAGGCCAGTGAGGCAGTACTCAAAGTTATAGATGGCTAGGTGATTTTAAACAATCAGCATGAAAAAATTAAATGCTATAAGTGCTAAATCAATAACAAAATTTCTTTGTTGGAAATTATTTCTATGTGCATGATTTCACAGTATTAAAAAAGTAGGACAAAATAAATATATTATAGATTTTTTTTTTTATCAACAAATTCAACTTGCCGCACAGGGCAACTAACCTCAGCCTCCAGTTTCTCTCTCGATGACTTCTCCTTCTCCATAACAGAATGAGCTGAACTTAATTCTGCTTTGAGTGAACTCAGCTGTAGGCTGTACATCTGAGAGGCTTGGACTAGGGCTTCCTCATTCAGTTTCTGGGATACAAAATTTTTTTCTATCACTCAATGCATGAAAACATTCTGCAAGTTTGTATGGGATGTGGGTGGTTCAGACCTGTGTACGCCTAAGATTTTGGCGCACAATTTAGGATTTTGAGGTGTATACATTTTATATATATAGATTATTATTATTATATATTATAATGTATGTTTATTTTTTTACTCTTAAGATAATGTATTGAATACTTTTGTGGTGATATTGTACAATTTTAAGCATTTGAGGGTAAACAGGGCTGGTGGTTGCTTGGAAGCCTACACAAGTGGCCGAATCTCACCCAACAAACTAATCTTTCTAGCCAAACCTTTGAGTTCAAACAATAATAAATTAATAATTATGACGCCTAGAAAAAAAAATGCCTTAAATTAAATATGCCAAAAGCCATTTCCAGACAGGCAATATCACAACTAAGATAATGTCTCACCAACCACATGCTTCTTAAAATTTGCTGTTTTTAAAAAAAAATAAAAATAGATTCCCATAGTTACATATTTTTTTTTTTTTACTAATATCAGGTTAATAAACATAGCTGTGGAATACCTTTAAGTGTAGCTTGTTCTAAATGCTTACTGACAGGCTGGGGTTATAAGCACATGACTGTGGACTACTTACAGGTAGATTTTAAAAACAAGTTATTAAAAACAGAAGTAACAAATTGTTACTTACAATTTCGTTTCTCAACTCATCCACTTTGGCATTCAGGATTTCATTCTCCCCCTCAAACATTGCAATGTTATCCTTGAACCTTGACCTCTGACGGTCCATCTCCATCTGTTTTGGGAAATAAAGTTGAATGGGTTAGGTTTCTAGAAATTTCTAATGATATTTTTCTGTTCACTGTAGCTATTACCGTTGGGATGCTTAATATAGATTTATGCTTTCTGTAAGTAAAAAAACAAAAAGAAAGTGAGTGAATAAAACTAATAAAAATATTTTTTATTTATAAGAATTTATGAAGAATTTATGGCAAGACCCTAACATTAAAGCAGAACAGCTCTGAGGGCACTACTGATGTTTAAAATCAAATCAAGATGTTTTGACCTCACAGCAAATTTGTTCAAATTTATGAAACTTTGCTTGGTAGAAGTGTAATGAAAGAGTTTAAATTTAAAAAAAAACCAAAAAGAGTATTACCTTGACAGCATACAACTCTGCCTGAAGCCTGTCCGTCTCAACAAATGATTCACGTGTTGACTCCAGAGAGGAGTTTTCCTGTTCCTGTAACAGAGTTACCAATTTTTACCCCTTGACCATGTCCTCTATGTAATAAATTATATAATTAGCTCCATCAAAATAAGACACTTAAAATCAGAATGCAGGCATGACAAAATATTTCATACTCTAAATTTGTTGTAACTGAATTTAGCATTCCTTGTTCCAGGTAATACAATATAACAAATAATAATTTGCATTTGTATCAAAATATATAAAAGTCAATCTTTGAATACTAATAACCAATTAGTTAAAATACAAAAAGATAAATCATAAATTTACATAAATGCAAAGATTTAATAAATTATAGAAATAGTTTCTTTTTATTAATATATCTGGTTCATTAACTAGCATTTTAAATGTCAAACAAAGCTAAAATACAGTAGCATAGCCGACCCTGGGTGTGTGTTCCTGTAGCTGTGAGATCAGCTTCTTCTGGTCCTCCCACAGTTTCTCCTGAAAATGCTGAGAATTGTTGGCCTGGCTGACTTTTCTCTCCAGCTCTTCTTTTTCTTCCATAAGCTGAACAACAGAATTTTTTTAAAAAGTTTATTCTTTTAGGCATCTATCAGCTGGACTGCACCAACTAAAATTTGTCATAATTGCTAGGACATGACTGAAATATTTTGTGTATGATAGTAGGATTATTAGCTGCCCTGAAGGAAGGCTTCTAGTGGAAAAATGTGACCAGCTTCCCATAGGACCAAACTTAAATGTGACCAGTGTCCCATTCAACCATCCTTGGATATGACCAGCCTCCCAGTTGGACCATCCTTAGATGTGACCATCCTCCCAGTTGGACCATCCTTAAAGCAAAGCACTCGGGTGAAAGTATTAATACTTTTGTGATTTAATTTTGTTTGAACTTATTTGGATGAATAGGTGTAAGAGTTAATAGAATTAAGCACAGTTAATAACTTTATCCTCAATGTTCAAACCCACATTTTAAACACAACAGCAAATTTCCCCCGAAAAATACAATTAGTAAAATAATTTGTTTTTGTGACTTCTTACTTCTTTTATAGTGTTGGTTGCTGTCCTAATTTCAATCTGGAGATTTCTCATGGTAAGTTCCATTTTTTGTCTGGACTCGAGCTCACTAAAAATATAAAATAACTGCATGAGAAATTAAACAAGAAAAGTCCCTACTATATTATAAACTGTACCTAACAAATTATATAATGTACCTAAAATATTACAAACTGAACCTAACATATTATTAACTGAACCTAAACATATTATTAACTGTACCTAACATATTATAAACTGTACTAAAATAATATAAACTGTACCTAACAAATCATAAACTGTACTTAACATATGATAACTGTACCTGACATCTTATAAACTGTACATAACAAATTATAAACTGTACCTGACATATAAACTGTACCTGACATATTATAAACTGTACCTCACATATTATAAACTTTACCTGACATATCATTAACTTTACCTAACAAATTATAAACTGTACCTCAGTCATTATTAACTGAACCTGATTAAAGAGTATTACTTTATTTTCAGTGATAACATCAAACATTGTTTATCCATCCTATGCCTTTAAATAAAGAGTCTTTATATGAGGGCCTTCAGCTTTGGTTTATCTGGCCAGTTAATAATTCAAAGGTGTTTGATAGAAACACATTTTTTTTATTAATTGGTCACCCAGTTTGACCAGTTAAAATTTCATTAAGAAGAAAAGATTTCTTCAACACACATTAAAAAAAACAGAACAATTCTTTGATTAAAACTTTATCCAAGCCAAACATTCATTAAATAGATCTTTTGTCTTCTCATAAATTGTAATTTAAATAATTATATACAGAAATAGATCCCCTTTAAGTATTTATATATATTTTGAAATTATAAAAAATACTTAAACCAGGCAAAAAAATTTTTTTTTTTGGCTTCGTCACAACTTTGACCTTTCCTAAATCTTTCCACAAATGTTACCTTGCATACTGTGTTTCCTTCCTGTCTAACTGTTCTTTTGTCTTACTGAGCAGAATCTGGGCATTCTTTCTCTTCTCTTCCTCATCAGTCAGACTGTATCTGCAATGACAGGTCACATAAGTATCCTATTATATATAACTCATGAATGCCTTGAATTTAAAAACAAAACCTAATTCTGAGAAAGCCCAACCAAAAATATTAGCAAAAGTTAATATCTTGAAATAAAAAAAAAAATTGAATTTTAAATGATTGAAATTTTCCAAGAGGACCAATTTGAAAATTGACCTGATGGGTCATAAAAAATAATTTCTGATAAATAATTTCCATTTAAGCTTTTCTACAAAATTTGTTGTTACATTTAATTACACAATTCTGGCTAACAAAGCTTAACATTATTTTTCAATAGGGTCTTCAAAAGCAGTTTTGAAATCTCTTTTGCTGCCAGCCTTGTTTGGTTACTCTTTGGCCAATACATATAGGACACAAAATATCAGAATTAGAGCAAGTATATCTTTGTAGAAAATATTTCTTACTCAAGTGATCGAATCTTTGCCTCCAAGTCGAGTCTTGTTTGCTCCAGGTTAGATTTTTCTCGGTTGATGCTCTCAAGTTTTCTGTTAAATTTTGGTGGGTGTGGAAAAGTGTAATAATAATTAGTAAACAAATACTACAATAAAGCTTTAAAAAAAATATGAAAATAATCATTTTAAAAATCACTCTTTGGGAGTGTGTGCAATTCATTGGTTAGTGCTGGGGTCACCAAACTACAGTCCGCGGGTGGGATCCGGCCCGCCGACGGTACTTAAACTTGCTTGATAAAACGTATGGAACACGAGATGTTGTGATACAATTTAATCTCCACATGTGCGGAGACCTCCTGGCTGCTATGTGCCTTAATTTACCCTTTTCAATTTTAAATTATTGCATCTACATTTTCTTGTTTATTGCAGACCAGTTTACTCTTGAACTCCTAAAATCGTACAATATCGTCTCAAAATCGCACAATGCAGTATCTGAATAGTAAATAAATAAACATACAGGATGTAAAATGAATACAATAACTAGTCGCATCGCAGTGCCGAGTGGGATCAAGTTAAGCTGGCATAAAAAAAAGTTAACTACTAAAAGTAGATGACCAAAGTTTATAATACAATCTGCGGTCACTTTGTTTTGCAGACGCATATTTGCTATAGATATTAATTTATATTGAGTGGACGCACATACCACATTATCACAGTCTATCACTGGTAAAAATAAAGTTACTGGTAAAATTTAACATGGTTCAACTCGAAGTCGAATCAGCATAATTAATTATTAATTATTATTTAAACACATCTAAACCTACGTCATGTTATTTGGATCCCATCCCCACCCCCCTGTTGGTTGAGTCATTAGATCATTTGCTCCCAACGATAACCCACATAATAAATGAAAGCTTTTCTTCTGGCACTGTTCCCCCTCTTTGTAAATCAGCTGTCAAACCATTGCTTAAGAAGCCTGGTCTGGATGAAAATAATTAAAAAAATTATAGACCTGTATCTAACTTATCATTTTTATCTAGAGCTATTGACAAACTAGTTATAAAACAGCTTTTTGCTTATTTAATTGACCAATCTCTTCTCAGTACTAATCAGTCTGCCAAAAGACATTTCCACAGCACAGAGACGGCTCTCTTGAGAGTGACCAATGACCTCTTGCTCACATTGGATAGTGGTGATATCTCCATCCTGATCCTCTTAGACCTCAGTGCGGCCTTTGACACTGTTGACCATGTAATCCTTTTCAAAACCCTTGAAAATTACTTTGGAATTTCTGGTTCAGTTTTGGCTTGGTTTAGGTCCTACCTCTCTGATAGAACGCAGGTGGTCTCTGTCGATGGCTGTCTCTCAGGCAGTGCTGATTTGGTGTACGGAGTACCACAAGGGTCTGTTTTAGGCCAGATTCTATTCACATTGTATACCAGACCACTGCTCCTCTTGCTTGGGAGGCATGCTGTTGAGAGCCAGTCATTTGCAGATGACACGCAGCTATACAAGCATACCCATCCTTCTCTTGTTGAATCCGCTGTCCAGACTTTGCGGGGGTGCATTGATGATGTCAAGTCATGGATGACACTCAGCAAGTTGAAGCTTAATGATGACAAAACGGAAGCACTCCTCATCCACAATCACAAATCATCCTCTACCTCAACTCTTCCTACCTCATTTCAAGTAGATAACTCTGACGTATTGTTTACACCCTCTGCTAGGAATCTTGGTTTTATTCTTTCTAACAACATGTCTCTCGATAAACACATATCTCACATTTGTCGTTCAGCATACACCACTATCCGTCAGATCAGCTCCATACGCCCCGTCCTCACAGTTAGCGCTACAAAAACTCTAGTCTGTGCTCTTGTTCTCTCTCGTCTTGACTATTGCAACTCTCTTCTGTTAGGTTCACCAAAACACAGCATAGAAAAACTGCAGAAAGTTCAAAACTCAGCTGCTAGGCTAGTTTTAAAGGCAAAAAAACGTGATCACGTCACTCCACTACTCCCTTCCCTTCATTGGCTACCTATACAGGCACGCATTGACTACAAGTTGTCTGTTCTCTGTCACAACTTTTTCTTGGATTCCTGCCCTTCCTGTCTAACTGAACTTCTTTCTGTCTATTCAACCCTTCGACAGCTTCGCTCCCCTGCAGACACACATATTCTGTCCGTTCCCAAGACACACACTAAAATTTATGGTGAACGATCTTTCTCTTTCTGCGCCCCCAAACAATGGAATTCTTTGCCACTACACATACACAATATACCAACCACCCAGGCCTTCAAAACTGCACTCAAAACATATCTTTTTAAATTATACTACCCTGACTGATTCCCCTCCTCTGACCGATAAACGATCTTGCTGGCTGCCGTCCATGGTTTGCCTTGTAAAAGTTATGGGGTGGGGTGGGTGAATATACATTGCTGTTCTTTATTTCATAAATGTATTTTATTTTAATGTCATGATTATGTCTCTTTTGATAAAATTTTTATGTACAGCGCGGTGAGCCCAACCCTAGGCTGGGGTACTGCGCTATATAAGACCTCTTATTATTATTATTACTATTCAAACAACTACCAAGTAACTTGAGGTTGCTGTTTTAAGGAAAAGCTGGTTTTAAAAATAAATAAAATGAGAATCAACTTCCAGTAAGCCCATTCCCGCTTATATATTATAGTCTGATAACCACCAAAAACTGTAAAAACGGAGTTCGCATCCGTTTGCAGCATGCATGGAACAACTTATGTCTGTGAGCAAAAATTTTAAAAAATAAAGTATGTGAAGTCAATACAACGAATGAGAGGGATTGATGAACATTTGAAAATAATTCTTTTCATTGGATGCAGCAATTCCAAACAAAACAATGATGATATCTTGAAAGCCAAATGTCAGTTTCACAAATCTCACTAACCCTTTTTGCTGCTTAGTTTGTGAGATTTCAATTTGTGCGCACTAGGTCTGATGTAACTATCTTTTTGCTAACATCACCTTCTTTGATAACTTTTTTTTTTAGTAAGTAAAAACGTTGGTTTTCTTTGTTTTTTTTGCATTGCATTATCATGCAATACCAGACCTGTTTACTCTTACGATTTTGGCGAAAAATGTTCGATTTTGAGGTGTAAAAATATATACTGTATGCTTATTTTTTACTCTAAATATAAGGTATTGAACGATTTTGTGATGATATTGTACGATTTTAAGAGTTTGAGGGTAAACAGGTCTGTGCAATACTAAACTTAGTTTTTCATCTTTTTCCAGGAATTTCATTCTGGTTTATAAGCATTGTACAGCATGATTATCAAGCCGTGCTCGTCATTTTTTCCGTAATCCGGCCCGCCATGAAAAAAAGTTTGGTGACCCCTGGTTTAGTGATATAGTCAAACAATATTTAAAACATAATATCCAATCACAACCATTTTTTTTTAAAGTTATAAAATGTAGTCGTTTTGTAGTTGTAGTCAGTTTGTAGTTGTAATTTGTTTTCACAAAGATGCCCAGGTGCATAAAACTTTAGCATTGTTTGTAAAAAAATGTTTTGCTTTAAATCCATACAGACCATGACAACACTGGTTCTGTCTTTTAATGACTCTGCCACCCCCCTCACAAAATTCACTTTCTACTGATTGCAAAACATAATAAGAATTTTATTTATTTTAAATCTGTCCTAAAGCATGGCACCCTCAATTAAAATTATCCCATTTTTTGCCTTGTAAACCTGCCTTCTCCTTGGTCAACTGACCAGCACCTGAAATAAGCTTGGCCTGCTCCACAGAATGCCCTTGAGACTGTTTCCTACTTACTTGTGAATCTCAGTTTTCTCTTTGGTAGCCACTTTAAGCTTATTTTCCAGCACAACTCTCTGGTTTTTTTCTTGCTCCAGCTGCCGTCTTGTTTCTCTGACATACTCTTGTACTTTGATGAGTGAGCTGGGATCTGACCAAAAATGAAGGCAAAAATTTTTTTTTTTTTATGTTATTGGTTTAAAAAAAATATTTTTAAATGCAACCCTTTGCACACAAAAATCTATTTTATAACAACCTTGTGACCTTATAGTAACCAAGTGATCGGTTGGTTCAGCCAGTCTGTATGCACCAGGGAAAGTAATTCTGAATTTAGAAGTGGTTTCCATAGCACATCTCCATTTGCCATGGGAATAAAAAAACAATACTAATGGGTTTTCATTGAAAAGAATAGTTATTACCTGAAAGGTTTATATTTGTGAGAACCTCTCTATCTTTCCCATATGAAGGTGTACTGTGAACCTGGTCCTCAAACTCTGTAGATGTGTAGCTCAAGGCATCATCATCAAGAGCGTCATTATGTCTGTACATGCCTTGGTAGTAGGAGGTGGGGAGACTGGGCCTGTGTCATTGAAACAATCAAAACTGATACATAGATCTACAAGGAATTAGGCACAAACACCAGACTGTACTGTTGGGGGGAAAAAAAAAATCCGCTTTTTCCCCCAAAAAATTTCATAATAGGGATTTAAATAAAATTGTGGAGAGCCATGAAGGCTAATAATTTGGAATACAAAATGGCTCGGAGCTCCGATACGTAGGACGAACCTTTCATCTCCAGGATTATCTGATAGCTGCGATTCATTATCATCGTAGGGATCCACAGAAAACATATTTGGGCTGGTGTAAGAGGAACCAGTACTGGTCATCTGTGGAACTTGAAGCCTCTGCTTGATCTGCTCAACAGTGGAACCACCAACAACATTACTGGTCGGTCCGCCACCAGCATAAGGAAATGTCTGAAAATAAAACAACAATATTATAGAGTAGTTGAATATTATTAGCAAATAAAACAACAATATTATAGAGTAGTGAATATTATTAGCAATGAAAAATTGCAAGGAGTATCTTTTTTTTTTGGTCAGACTCTAGATGCGGCCGGGTGACTGCTGTTACATTAACTGGAGACTCACCCCTGGGGATTTGACCCCCACACTTGGCTTTGGAGGAGGGGGAGGCTTGAAAGGGGGTGAGGTGAGAATATGTTTTCCCTCCTCTTCAACTCTGTCCCCTCTAGGGAATGATTTCTCATTGAGCTTTTCCACGAGCCCTCGCCTGCAAGCAATGGAATAGATATTGTCACAAATGTCACAAGACTCAGGGTGGCTGGTGTAGTTTAATACAACTGTTCCCATTGTTTAGTCAGTAGCTGCATATAATTATATTAGCTAGAAGCCTGGTGATAATATTCCATTTGTTAAGGTAAGGTTAACACAAAAAGTTAACGCTTTACTGACCGTTGCTCAGTCTGATCAAGATCTTTCACACTCTGAAAAAATATCTGTAAAAAAAATTTAATTGAAGAACAAATTATTACATTCATAATGTGAACAACTACATGAATATTTATGTATTTCATTCATCATGTGAACAACTACATTTATATGTACATATTACGTTCATCATGTGAACAACTACATGTATAAGTACAATTTTGTTTACCATTTCAAATCAGTCCATAAATCATAATTAACCCTGACATCTAAAATTAAATGGTAGGATTAGCATGGGGAGAAGGGAGAGGAGGAAAAAAAAAAGGGGGGGGGGGATTGTTCTTTAGTGATAAGCAATGCTCTTTGAAACTTAAAATGATAATTTCTTGTTTACAATAAAAAGTTTTTATAAAATTTTCCCAAAAATATGTTGACATTTCCTAGTTTTACAAAAGTAACTCAACAAAATGCCATGCAACCAGAAGATTGGCTTGAATCAAAGGGATTAGAGCAGACGAAAGCTTCAACCTACCATCTCTTGGGCTTCTGCCTTTCCCAGTGACTGCCTCTGTTGAGTTGCAAAATAACAGTTTAATTGTCACTTTACATTGATGTGTAACTAGAAATTGAAAAGATCATCAAATAATCCAGATATCATATACACTACAGAGTAGTAATTGAGATAAGGATCCTGTACCAAAAATAAATGGCGGCCAACTTAAAAAGTGCTGAAAGTAGGACAGAGGTGTTTATAAAAAAAATATGCAACATACCTCCATCACTTCCTCAACATTTCTCTTCAGCTGTTCCTCTTTCTTGCTTTCTTCAATCTCCCATTGCCTGTCTAGTATCTCTTGCCTCTCCTCCACCTCCCACTCCTGGGTTTCATTCTCGTCTAGCTCTTCCTGTAACTGTATTAACTCTTTTTGCTTTCTTATCTTTTCTTCTTCCTCCTTCTGTTTTCTCATCCTCTGTTCTTCTTCATTCGGTTTTCTCCTTTTTTCCTCCTCCTCCCTCTGTTGTATTAACTTATCTTCTGCCTCTCTTTGTTTTTGTATCTTTTCCTCCTCTTCCTTTCTTCTTTTGAGCATATTTTCTTCCTCCCTCAGCTTTTTAATTCTTTCCTCTTCCTCTCTTTGTCTCTTCCTTAAATCTTCCTCCTCTTTCTTTATTCTTTTAATCTCCTCTTCCTCCTTCTGTTTTTGAAGTCTGACTTCCTCCTCTCTCTGTATCCGCATCTGCTCCTCCAGTCTAATCCTCTCATCCTCCTTCTCCTTCCTCACCATCTCTTCTTGCTGCTCTCGGTAGAGCCTCTCCAACTCTTCTTGTTCACGACTTCTTGCCTCCTCCTCCATTTCTCTTTGTCGTGCAGGGGAGTTAAGACTGACATGTTTTTGCTGGGGAAATTTTTTTAAACAAAAATTCATCAATACATCAACAACAATTCAAAACTATTTTCATCTAATAATTCAACATACAACAGAAATGACACAAAATTTACACAGAAGGTACAAATAAATTGTCTTGCAAGAAGGAAGTATACAACCTCACAAACTTTATGAAAACAGAATCATGTTTCTTTTGCAGAAAAGTTGAATTAAAATCTGAACCAGAGCAGCTTGTTAACAGACAGATTTCAGGTGGGAGGATTTTTTTATTTTTGTTGTATTATAAATGGTCAAAATATTAGATAGAATTATATTATTGATCATATATAATGGAAATTACCTCCGATAACATTGTGCAAATACATTTTCACCATATTGAATAAAACGGAAGTCCACTGCGTTCACTCACCTTCTTCCTCTCCACCTCCCAGGAGCTCATGGACTCGGACTCATCTTCTGAATTAGATGTTTGTTGCTGGTCTGACTGACCCTTGGCTTGTTTATGGACAGGCGATGACAGGTTTTGCGGGAGGGAGCTTTCGCCAATGATGTAAGCAGGTGGTTCATTTTCCATAGACTGTTCATCTGCCTGCAAGGGCGGAATGTACATTTCTTTAAAAAAGTAGCACTCTTGGCCATAAGACAAACAACTGTTACATGTCATTTGAAAAATCATTAGAAACTATCCTTTCTTATATTGATTGATGCATAGCAAAAATATCAAAAGTTCACTTAAATTCTTGCCTTGTATTGATAAAAAGAGCCTGTTGTCATTAAAATAATAACTTACAAAACAAAACAAAATCAAAATGTCCTTAAATTCTTGCCTATTATTTGATAAAACAAAGCCTGATTAATTTAATATGATAGAAGAAAACTGTGCTGCTAAATCTATTTCTAACCAGTTATTGAGGAATCAATTTGAGTGACCAAGAAAAAGACATCATTACTATTTTGACTCTTTTCAATTTTTATATGTATATATATTAATTACCTAGTGTATTACGGAAGAATATATTATTATTCAATAAATACTTATAGTTATTTTCTCATTTAAGAAAGACTTCGATTCAGTCTATACTGTATGTATATAGATAGGTTGTTATGCCGGTGTGGTAATTTGGCTTAAATAACTAATCCCTAAACAGAGTGCCAAGAGGAGATCTCTTACGAGAGACACTCCTCACTAAGATATCATAAGTCAGATCACCACACTCGGAATAAAAAAGGTGTTCATAAAACTGCACAAGGGTAATATTCATTGCCTCACCGCACCTCAGCAGGCTAATAGAACCTTTGGCCACATCATACATCGTGCAAGAAATATTCAGTGCAATGTATTTTGACTTAAGAGATCTGGACAAGGTTTAATGTGACACAGAACTGACCTCAGAGTCCCAATCACTGTTCGAATCCTCTCCTCTTTGACCTCTGTCCACCACAACTTCCCTGGTCAATGCAGGATGTGTCGGTTCAATATCAAATTCTGCATCCGGCTGCACAGCTACCTGTGTAGGATTGTCTTCCTGGTCCTGGAAGTCAAAGATAGTTTTAATTAACTTTATGATAATATTGACTGCCATAATTGTATTTCTTTTTGAACAGTTCATTATCTTGTTTTATTTTCAAAAGAAACTTGAAGGATGCCACACAAAGTATTTTCTACAACTATCATAGCTGAAAAACTTCTAAGAAATGAAAAAAGTACCAAAGACCAAAAATGATAATTCCTAACAGGTATAAATTGTCTGTTTGTGTAATTATTACGTTGTAAATGTTGATCGCCTGGTCTATTATATCCAACTTCACAATGACTCTCTCTCTCTCTCTCTGATAAGAAGTAACAATGTCCAATGTACACTAAATAGTACTTTATTATTTACGCTAAATAATTCACATGATTCCTTGACATCAGGATAATGTTATAACAATTATAATTGCGATGCAGAAAATAGATATACACACACTTTCAATAATTTATCAGATATCTATTCAGTAAATCCATTTGAGAAAATCCAACATGACCTCTCACATTCAAGTAATCACCCACTCTAGATCCCTCGTTCGCTCTGATGCTCAAAATCCTTGTGTCCCCTTTTATCACCCAAAATTAATTCACGCGCCCGTCCATGACTTGAAAAGAGTTTACACCCGTTCATGTAACCTAATTGTCGCAAATCACAACACACACTGCTTTATGATAATGTTTAATCACTGACAACAGAACTAGATTTGTTAACGGTATAAAGAAGTTTATAAAATGCAAAAATATATGGCTCCAGCCTTAAAAAAATAAATTTAAAAAGGCAAAAAATTCATTATTCAAAATATTGCTTCTATGGTGAAAAGATTTATGATTCAATCTTGTATCAATTTACTAAGAAAATCCCCAGCAAAGCCTAGACAAGCAAAAACGACACCAGCACCACGGGTGGATGTGACTCGTTAACCTTGGATGGCAACTCACCTAAGAGAAGGCAGACACTGAAATCAAACCCGGAGATTGAGTCCCGCAGGCTGTATGACACAGACACAATGAAAATTCAGACAACTCTGGACACAAGGAATGCATAAAGAACATAGAGAAACACACAAAAAAACACTGCTGGTCATCTACTGCATCCTGGTCTATTTCCGGTCGTCTTGACTAAGTCTTGTCATTGAACCAAATAGGCAAGGACAAAAGAGTAAGGCTGATGGATTGAGAAGCTCTCTTTCATTTTAAACAAACTATGGCTCAAGTCAAGGCTATCACTCAAGTCAAGGCTACCGCTCAAGTCAAGGCTACCACTCGAGCTGAATATTCCTTGATCACCTTCGTACGCAAAGGACATTCAATAAATAATAAATGTACTAAATCAAACTATAATAATGAAGTGAATAATTGACCATGCTGTAACACTGTCATTTGATCAACCTTACAGTTGGTTCCAATTATCATCCATCAGCATGCAATGACCTAAATAGATTTATTTTGATTAACAAGATAATCTACCTCATATAAATAAAGATGGCCATTTGGCTTAGGATTATGTCCATCAATCATGTCCCATTCCCCATCCTTAACATTGACTGCAGTTGTCTGTGAATTAACAAAATTCATTAAATGATATAATAAATGTATGTTTCTATCACATGACTATCACATGACTACACAATAATTTATCAAATATATGTCAGCTTCTTCGGAGAAAATGAAAAATAACTAAAGTAAAACTGGAACTACTCATAAAATTATGATGTAAATGATGCCCTCAGCTAACATCACCTTTTGGGTGAAACTGGAGGATGGTGGGACAAAGTTGGATGAGTTGGCCGGATCTACCATGTCCTCTAGCTCACTGTCCCATTCTGACACCTAGATAGAGTAGAAAGATTAAAAAAAATTTTTTATTAGAGTTACTGAGTGCCGTATAACAACTGAGTAGAGTAACTGAGTGCCGTATAACAAAGGTGTGTTATAAATTGTTTAAAATTACTAAAAAATATGAATTTATTGTTAGCCGGTCGCTAGTCCTTTATCAAGTCACAACAACAATAAAAAGCAAGAAAGTTGGGTAAGAACAATTTGTAATCTGTTGAATGCCTCTATTCATCAGTCATGAAAAAAATAATTTAGAGAAATGGTAGTTTCAAATGCTCACTGACAATAGAACGGCATTCATAGCTGCAAAGATACTGAAATTCAGAGTGCTTCTTGGGTTCTGCTCAAAGACTTTCTGTAAAAGTTTTCACCTTTAACTTTTTTCAAGTCACAGTTAACTTACTTTTACCCATTGGTTGTAAGGTGGTGTGGGGGGGGGGGNTAAGTCCTTACATCTTGAATTTTTCTTAAGATGGACCAGTAAGTCCTTACATCTTGAATTTTTCTTAAGATGGACCAGTAAGTCCTTACATCTTGAATTTTTCTTAAGATGGACCAGTAAGTCCTTACATCTTGAATTTTTCTTAAGATGGACCAGTAAGTCCTTACATCTTGAATTTTTCTTAAGATGGACCAGTAAGTCCTTACATCTTGAATTTTTCTTAAGATGGACCAGTAAGTCCTTACATCTTGAATTTTTCTTAAGATGGACCAGTAAGTCCTTACATCTTGAATTTTTCTTAAGATGGACCAGTAAGTCCTTACATCTTGAATTTTTCTTAAGATGGACCAGTAAGTCCTTACATCTTGAATTTTTCTTAAGATGGACCAGTAAGTCCTTACATCTTGAATTTTTCTTTAGATGGACCAGTAAGTCCTTACATCTTGAATTTTTCTTAAGATGGACCAGTAAGTCCTTACATCTTGAATTTTTCTTAAGATGGACCAGTAAGTCCTTACATCTTGAATTTTTCTTTAGATGGACCAGTAAGTCCTTACATCTTGAATTTTTCTTAAGATGGACCAGTAAGTCCTTACATCTTGAATTTTTCTTTAGATGGACCAGTAAGTTTCTATAGATATGAATTTATCTTTATATTGATTGGCCTATAAATTGCATTATCTTTATACAGAAATATTTTAAAAATCTTCATTTAAGAATAAACATAAAAAATTTTATTAAAAAAAAACATTTCTGTTAGGGCCACTTTCCACTTATTTTTGCCAGGTTAAATGACAGTTGTTTCTAGCCTGTAATATCTTTAGTTTGAGAAGAGACACCTAAGACTTGAACTCACGACCCAACAAGCTTCACTTACACTATCTTTCCCTCTAGGAGACTGCAGACTGGGTTTGATCTGGGGCACAGCATTCTGTGTTGTCTCTGTGGTGTCCCAATCACTGTTGTCATCCCCTGAGTCTACCTGCACCGGGATGGGCATGTATTTAATGGACATGATAACATCCATAGATTCAACACCTATAACATTAGTTTAACAAAATGTGTGTTTTATCCATACATCAAAATATATGATTGTTTGGTCTACTTACATCAGGTGCTTGTAACAGAACTGTGGCTGCCGTCTTACCCACCTCGCCAGAGTCTCCTAAACCAGTCTGAAAGATAAAAACATTTGATAAAAATTCAAATTTAAAAAAAAAAAGATCTTATCCTGAGATTTGATAACAAAAATAATTATAATAATAATTATATTTCACTTTAGTTAGTTACACCCACAAAAATTGAGTGAACATTTAGTAACAATAAAATAGTTTGTTGTTACAAATAATGAGAACTTACATTGCACCTAACTGATTTGAACTTAATTGGACCAAACTGATGACAACTTACATTATTCCAGTTTTTTAAGATGCCAGGCCTTGGAGTGGTGATGTCAGACAAGACAGATGAGTCCCAGTCATTACCAGCAAGGTTGGGGTTGGATGTCGCAGTTTTTGGTGGAGGTGACGCAGGCAAAGGCGGTGGCTGCTCCACCCCTTCAGAAATCTCACTGATGTCATCTACGTCACTGATGCCAAGTTCCTCCATGAGCGCTGGAGGTTGGGGAAGGTGGGTGTGTGACATAAAACACTTGACTCATATGTTATATGATTATTGGAATGACTAAAGCAAGTCAGAATGGGGGTAAGGGATGGGGTGGGGGCATGTTATATGGGCAAGATTTGTGTTGATAAGCATTTCTCACTTTCATTCAAATTTTAATAGAATCTTTTACGCAAGTCTTTACATTTCCCTTCCAACAATAACATTATAATGGTGAATCCATAAATGATGTGATTGTAATGTGAAGTAACAAGTCAGACACACGATGCAAACAATGGTTTATAAGGCTGTCCTGTGTTTCATAAAACTTACTTATCTTTGATTTCTTAGCTGTATGTATGCTTCTGTTGAAATTTCTTTTTAAAAATGCTCAGAAGATAATGTGAAAAAAAAATTGCGTAATTTGTCCAAGGAAAAAAAAATATTGGAATTTGAATTAAGATTATTTTTTGTGTCGATGTTTTGAATGAGAACATCAGCAGCTATTTTAGCCCATTATGGAAGTTTATAACAGCTAAGCCAAATTGTTGACATCAATGAAATAGAAAATACAAATAAAGAAGTCAGAGCTATTCAAAGACATAGTTAAAAATGGTCACAACAGCTCAAAGACAACTAATTCTGTTAGAGGTTTTGTAAATGGGTTAGTTTGATGTCTTATTATCTAGTAACAATATTTTTAAAGTTGAAAATTGATGAGTTAACTAAAAGTGAAATAAATATTTTTGTATCAGGGTTGTGGATATAGGAGTCTCATGGGTCAATGATCAGTAGTGTAACTGGCAGAAAGCAGGGTGGAGGTGGGGGTAATTGCTTTTGAGTGGATTGGATGATATTTTGTGAGATAATTCCCATATAGATAACTGACCCACCCCAAAGAAAAAAAAATTTTATGATGGTATATGTGGTAAAAACACATGTGGTTTGTGGGGTGATGATAAACTTACTAAAAACTACAAACTTAGATCTAGTCATTTACACAGAAGAAAAGAAATATTTGAGGATAAAAAAATTATATATAAAGCTGTTTAATTCTATATATGTCCATCATTTAAGATGATATATTTTAAATTTGTAATATAACTAAAAATAAATCTGGAACCTTTCATTAACAAAATGTTATAAGGAATCTTTAAACTAAATTTTAAGCTATGCATAATTTCATCATTTTCAGTCTTAAATTAGTTTTTTTATAATGTCATTTGTATTAAAACTTGCTCCCAGACCCCTAGTTTCTGACCTCTTGTTTAAAACATGTTCAAAATTGAAAACTTATAAGTCTGCTAAAAAAAGAAAAGAATTGATTACAGACACACAAAACTACAGCCTCTAGGTTTGAAAGGTATTAGGGCAATAAAATCAAAACATGATAATACGTGTAAAAATTAAAACAGGATATTTCTTTGAAGGAAAAATTAATACAAGTTAAAACTTAAGTTAATATTAAAAAAATAAATAAATAACAAAAACAAAACTTCTATGAATGAAATGTTTAACTATACAGACCTGTCTTTTGTTCCCCTGGGTGAAAGATTTATTTATGATATTATCCTGCTCATTAAATTAATCATCTAAGTAAGGATTAAAGTATACACCACAAGATACACACAATGTTGACACCATGCCCCCATGATGAGAGGGGACACAAATCATCGTGAAAGAGGAGACAGACTATAAAAATGTAATCAATTAACTTAATCAAGAAACATGCCATAGCTGGAATTTGAAATAAAATCTTGGCAACTTTGCTAGGCATTTCTATAACAACATTCAAAAATAATCCAGAGAAAAGTGTGTTTAAATAATAAAATATGTTTGAGAATCAAGGTAATTGAAAACTCTCTATTACTATGATTTTACTTTTTAAAAAAATTTAAATTTACGGTTTCTATTATTTAGATATTGAAAAAAAAAAAAATTCATAATTTTTTGTTCTTGAGTTAACCTAGTGGCTTGAAATATTAAAGGAAATGAACGAAACAAAGTATGGGAAAACCTGAAAGCCCATTTTATATTGTTTTTACTGATGTTTGTTCACTGAAGAAGGCTTCTTGCTGACACATTCATTTTGTTGCATCCTTTTTTCCCCCCATTTTTTCCCATACTTTGTTTTGCTTATTTCCTTTGACCTAACCTGATTGCAGTCTCAGCCCCTTATTACCATTGAAAATATTAATTGTCCATCTCACTATAGTCCACCTATAAACAGTTGTTCCCAACCTAACCCTTACCTCTCATCTTATCCAAAGATGGAGGGAGTGGAGGTGCCACGCCAGTGGGCATGTAACCATCATCTTCATCGTCCTCTGCTTTAGCTGGTGTGGAGGTTGTCTGGCAATATAAAAAAAACACTGTTTATCAACCAAAAAAATATTTACCATTGAGCATTTCATTGAATTTGTCATCAATTGCAATTATTTATGACCAATGTATTGAATGTTCATAGTTTGATAGATTTAATAATACATCAGTGTTTTTGGGGGAAACCCAGTTGTTTTTCCATAACCAAATGTTTTTATGGCTTCTAATGTAATCAAATATTGTGTTTATCAAACTGTACATAATCATTCAAATAATGCTGCTAGTGATCCTCGATAAATGGCCACAATGAGTAATTTGTTAACCAGTGTTATAATCTCAGAAAGCGTAACTGGTATGCAGGGATACATACAACTCTTGTCTTTAAAGACTTGTTGACAGTAGCATAAATATTTGAGTCCAAATCTGATTCCTCTGCTGCTGTCTGTAAAAAGTTAGAAAAAACAATGCTAAAAATGAAGCATCGTGGCTCCATAATTCACTCATGTATTTCAGTTCATACCTTCTAATACATGTTACTCCCAACAACACCACAAAATAACATTGAGGCCTAACAGGTTTTTTCATACACCTGGGATTGAGGGACCAAGCAAGAAAAAATGTAAAAGGCCAAGATGTGTCATTTAAAAAAGTGTAGGTACATATTTTGTTTTATAAGAAGAATATTTAACAAAAACTGTTCTGTTAATTATAAATTTGATAGCCTACTCTCTGATTATAACTTTTCCACATTGCCTTGCCTATTTTGAGTTTTCAATTTTAGATGGTGAGAACAATATTATTTTATGTTACCTGTCTATTGTTATCCAATGGTAAAGTTATGAGATAAACTTCCTGTTAAGTGTTTTATTTTTCCAACATATCACTGACATCAGTACTGTCCTTCAAACCATGATCTCTTCGAATTAAATTAAATTTTTTTAAAGATCCAGAGATACATAAGACAAAATTGAGTGCTTACTATATTATGTATTTCTGAGAGCTCCTCATCTTTCTTGAAAGAAACTCTCTGTGCAGAATTGTTTTTTCTAGGAGTTACTGGAGAGTCACCCCAGGAGTTCTCTTCTCCAGATGTTTGTGATTGCCAGGATGTCTGCCTTGTGTTTTCTGGCTTGGGTGTAGTTGCAACTTGAGGCTGGTCTTTGATTTGATCCATCGGGTTGTCTATGACTGACATTTTTCTCTTGGGGGTGGAGCCCCGCACAGACTCTAAAAGAGCAGACAAATAGTTTGACAGTGCCCGGATCTGATTTCTCACACTGCTAAGACTGTCTAACAAACCAAACCAACAACTCAATAAGGGTAGCCGCATCAAAGTCTGGCTCAGTGGTTTCAATTCACAGTTCATTCATTTATGTGTAAAGAAATAATGTTAATATTTAAAAGAAATTTTAAAAAATAATCATAAACTAATTAATTGTTTTGATGACAAAATTATTTCATCTTGCATATGATTGATTTTACATAGCTGCAATTTTAGCTTCATTGTCTGTAGCCTTCCATTAGCCTTCAATTTGTTTTGAGCAATTAAAATGAATAATATTTTTGAATTTAAACAAATATAATGAAAATAAATTACATTCAAGAATGACATATGGATGGTCATGCTGAAAAATAAATCAATTTATATAAAAAATTACAATTAAACAAATTTCCACATTTAATCCATGTAAAACTTCCCACCAACTTGTTTGCAACCTGCAACCTAAGTTCTTGTTTTCTGATTTTCTTGTGTTCACAGAGTAAGACATTCAGCTTAATTGTTCATTTTATAGTCTTATGTTGGTATTCATGGATGTTCTTAATATTTCTTTGTTTAATCCAGGATTGCAGGATTTTATAAGTTTAAAAACAAATTATAATGGTCTTAGGAAGACCATTTGCTACATTTAAGCTATAAATTTATTTTAAAAAATATAAAAATATTTAAAAAAAAACAACTAAATTTATTCTTGAAAACTCATGACTGAAAAATATATTAACATTAATTTTTGAGCAACATAAATTTTTATTATAAAAATTGTAAGTTTATCTCACCACCATCTGTGTCACTTTCTGAAATGTGAATGCTCTTTGCAAACTTGGCCAGGCTGATCTTAGGTGCACTGTGCTGCAAGAGTCAAAGAAAGTCTATTTAGTACAATGTCTCTACACAGAAGCTACAAAATACAATTTACATTGTAGCATAGTCAGCTAAAACCAGCTACAGGCATTTTAGATAAAGTGCAAACTTTTTTAATTTAAGCCAAATTATGTGTATTTTACCCGTGTACAAAAGAATGTTCTTGTTATTCCTGAAGTAAATAATTCGATAGATTAAGCTACTTTGGGTTGTTCATCATGCTTCAGCATCAGATCATACAAAGACAATTGAATAATTTGTCATTTCCAGCAAATTTAAGCTAGCTTTAATTTTTTCTGTATCATTTTTGATATATTTGTTGTTATAGATATTTGTGAATTTAATATAAAAGATAAGAATTAAAAAGAAGTGACACCTAATAAAACAGAAATCCACACAAAACTAAAATGAATTTATAACCCAGACTTACATAACATCCTTATTTCTCCATTGTATTTCTATACTTAATTCTGGGTTAATATTTCATTTATCAATATGGTGTGATTATTTGTGTCATGAAGTGTGAACAACAGGTTGAGTGGTGGTGGTGTAATATTTGCTTATCATTCTATAAAATTCATAAAGCACACTTATAAAAAATCTATCAATCATTAAGGTGGAATTTAGTTGAAATGATGCCTAGGTGACTAAATTTGGCTTTTTTATTCAAGAGACGCTCACACATTACCAGTGCCTATAGTAAGAATGAAAATGATTTGTGACAGAGATTCATAAGACTGACTTCACTGTAGATGTAGCACAAGTCAAAAATAAAAAGTGTTAAAGTGATTATGCAGATGAAAGGTTAAAATAAATATAATAACAAAGGGAACAAAAAACATTGAACATGTTGTTTTTTTCATTTTTGTGGAAGAAAACACAGTGCAACTTCTATGAAAAGAAAAAGATCCCAATATATATTAGTACCCAGCTCAGGGAATAAATGATGATAAATAAATCACAAGAAAAACACCAAAGACTGAACATCCCAAGGCTATGGAATCATAAAATTACAATAGTAATGGAAATGGCTCAGGAATTAGTTTCAGATTGTGATCTTGCAGCCCTGGAAAAGTTCACAGCAAGAGGTGCAGTTTATAAAGGCATGCAAGGGCAAATTATTAGGATAATATGATGAATATTTTACAGTCTGACCCTTTTTGCCCACCTCGATTTACAGTGCTAGTTACACCACCATAATAAAACTTAAAAAAAAAAATAATCTGTGATAAATTTGCACAATATTCCAAAAAAGTACACACACAATTTGTAAATTTCCAGGAGCAAAAAAGTAACAGATTTAAACTCGTATGACCTTCACCAATAAGTCATCAACAGATTTTTTTTTCATCTTACGAGCATTGAATTTTTGGTAAACATTAATAGAAACAAGTCAATAAATAAATACTTTCAAGTGCAAATGCAAGGAAAAAACATTGAGGCATGTCTTAATTTGAGTCAGAAACTGAAGACTTTTGATACATTTTTAAATGTAATATTTCAACCTGATAATGAAGGATAAAATCTTCTTCATGAACTTTCCACAATTCTTCTTTCCATGAACTTTCCCTTCATTATCTAGATTATATTTAAACCCTGAGAACAAGATAATACCTCAAACAACCCAACCATTGTCAATGTCAAACAGCCCCAAGCAACCAAACAAATTAAAGCAAGTGGAACATTGAAAGCAGTAAATAAAAAGCCACCTAATACCTACAGCGATATTATCTTCCTCAAACATCTCATCAATATCAGAGTCATCGTTGTCCTTCTGAGAAGTGGCATTTTGGCAAAAATAGGGAACATGATACAGGGAGATTGGTAATTTGTTTATTAACTTATGGTTGGATATAACGGCCTTTCAAATCTTAATCAATGCCAAATAATTTCCAGCTGGATGAATTCTGAAACTTTATTACTTCATGCATGAAAAGTTAAGTTTGTTCAAAGCAAGAAAAAGTCTGAATGGAATCATGTTTAATTATTAAAGGTCAAGTGTTTTTTTTAAACTAAGTGCTGCTGCAGCTATAAAACAGTGCTGTTTCTAGTTTTTACATTTTCAAGAATTGTTTCACCCAATGTGTCAAGAGGGAAATGAGCGGATTATTATCTTTATTTAGGTTGACAGCAGTAGCTGAATTTTTCTCTTCAGGTTTAACACCTACCCACCCACCTCCCCCACTTTTATTTTTCCTTCTCCAATTTAAAACACATTTCCTCCAAGCAATTAGGCAGACATGCTACCATTGTGCCCCACAGATATTAATTAATTGAAACACACTGTCTCTTAAGATAACATTTCGTTTTAAAAAATAGCAGTTTGCCACTGAAACAAAACTAGGGTCAATGAACTTGAGAAAAATTCCCTTACTAAAATGTGAAAGTTCATCATTTAGGTGGGCTGACATTTTCAGAATGCTTCAAATGTTAAGATATAATGCAAATCATCAAATATCTACCTTAGCTTTCTTGAGGTCTTCCCCAGTGGACACATCAGGTGAGTCAGCCCAAGAGTCAGAGCCGGGTGCACCAGAAGCTTTACTGATGGTCTCGTTATCTGAGTCATCACCTGCTGTTATATCAGATCATGACAGATTCCAACAATTTATTCATTTTAATTGCCTTATGTAAATCAAACATTACAGGTACTCTCATACCAATAAATCATTAACCATTGATTATTGTTACTTTCTACTTTTACAACAAATGAAGTGAAGGAGTTAAAAATATAACATCTTTTAATAAAAAATAAATTAAGTGTTTAAAGGTCACTTTCATTAGTCAGGCTTTCTATTCTCTGAATTCTTATTGGCTTATATTTGGAAATGAATTTAAAATGAATACTGTGCTGAAGATTTAGGGATATTACTGGTAATAAAGTGACATAATCACTTGAAGTAAAATCATTCAAAACAAGTTTCCAATTAAGAGGTTTTTATACACATCCCTAGAGTTGATCTTTGTGGTTTTAAAAAAAAATTAAAATAATATTTTCCTTATTTAATTGGGATTCTTTATGGGTAGCCAATACAAACATTTATATTGAAATATCATTTTGAAAGGGCCATTAAGTTCATCTTATTTATTGATGAAGCCCATTCTTACAGTATGCCTGGTAACACTATACCCCTACCCTGCCCAACTCCAGACTTGTTTACCAGGCCTTACCTCCCCCATCAGCCACAGGAAGCCCCATAAAACCTTTATCTCTGGGCGTGCTCAAGGAGCTGCCCGGCTGGGATATAGAACGAGGCGTTGATGTTGAGCTCGGGCGCTTGGCCAGCGTGCGGTCTGATATGAGCTGACAGCAAGCATGGTGGCCCTGTATGACTGCATGGTCGTCTGCTGACCAACCTGCCCGAAAAGAAACAATAAAGCATATTTTTCAAGGAAGCTAATTTAGTAATCATCATCTTAAATGGTTCTACAGCACGTAGCCGGCTTTGACATGCAATACCAGTAGGATCAAACTATGAGTTTTTGTCTCCCTCTATGGACCCCTAAAGTAGATCTGCCAGCATCATCAATGCATCACAGTGGTGTCCACCCATGAGTCATCTGCACCTTGGTTTTTGGAATTACATCCCCTTCACATCCTCTCAAGGTATCCTAAAGGAAGTCCGCCTTTTTAAAGTAACGGCTAAAAATTTAATTTAAAACAGTTAAAACAACACGCAGACCATGTTAGCATTTAAAAAAGCAAACCAAAATTTAAAAATCAAGACAAGAAGCGTATACATCTACTGAACTAACCTTTGGCATCTTTATGAGAGGCATCTGCCTTGTACTCGAGCAGCAGTTCAACAATAGGTATAGAGCCGTCATGGCACGCCAATATTAATGGTGTCCTGTACACAAGAAAATCACATTAAAAAAATTAATTAATTTAATTCAGTGTTCACAGCGATTTTCCCTGGCTACTCCCCTGGCCATTTAACAAACCAGAAGGAGTTAATATGCTTCACAGGTTAATATCAAATTTAGCAGGAACAAATGTGGTACACACCAAGGCCAGGTAATTTATTATTATTTATTTATGATATTAAAACATCAATAACATGTATGAACATTTGTTTATGATCATTTGACATAGGTTATAAAAGATCAGTTTTTTTTATGTTTAAGAAACACAAATTGAGCCGTGGTTTACAATTTTTATTTTTCATTATGAGTTAAAATAAAAATATAAAACCTTGACCAAAGCTTTACGTTAAATTAAAAATTAAAATTTTGGACTTGAATCTTTTTATCTTAAAAATTAAAATAGTGTAGTCCATAACATAAAATTTAATTTGTACCTTAGATTGTTGTCCTTCAGATTCACATCAGCCTTTTCCTTCAGCAGCAGCTCACAGACTTCAAATTGTTTGGTGCCGACAGCCAGGTGCAGGGGAGCCAATCCCTCCTTATGAACACAAGATATGCTAGTTTATTTTGCATAATGGAACCTTAACCAATACTTGAATGTGAGCATTGAGCTAAACTGACTTATCCAATAGTTTAATTTGAAAATAAAGCTAAACTGCTCTATCCAATGTTAAATGTGATTATTGAGCTAAACTCCTTAATGCATTAGTTTAACGTGAGAATGTGTGCAAGGTGTCTTAACTTAAATAAGACAAATGAGCTCTGCCACTCTACCCAAAATTTAAAGTGAGGATATAGCTCAACCAAGTGTTTTCAACCTTTTTACTGGAATGAAACCTTTGGAGCAATTAGATTGCTCACAGAACTCCATCAGTGACAAAAGGGTTCGTTCTATTCCAAATGGACAAAAAAATCATTTTTCTAAACTAAGTTATGCACGAAAAAAAACACTGTATGATACAGGTGTATACATGTAACACTGTAATTGTAGCCCCATCAAAAATAAACTTGTGTTGACAGAATAGATGATATTACTAGTTACTAGTTCTTTTTTTATTACCCATTAGCATCAGTTTGCAGTAGCAAACATTTCATAGAGAAACTGTCTTGTGCTTGGTGATTTCTACAAATCAGTTGAATTCGTGGCCGAATGTTCGAGAGAGACACCTGACATCTTCAACAGACAAAAGTCATTTTCGTTTCTTGTGTTTGATGGTGGTCATAGTAAAATCCAAACTTGCACATGTAAGAAGTTGAAAACTGCAACAGATGTGGCAAAGCTTTCTCAGTGATAGACGGGTACTTGTTTTTAACTAGTAACCAAAACGCATCTAAGTTTAACTCTCCATGTTTTAGCTTCAGCGTTCTATCCATCACACAACACTAATGAGCTACTCATATTCCTTCAAAGTAAACTGTCCTTGGCACATTTCAAATTCCAGAAATGGGTTTCTAACCCAATTGTAATAGTCAACAAATATTGCCGGAAAATATTTGCTGAGACTATTCAACAGAGCACCGAAATGGTTCACAATCAATGGAAGAATGTCTTGGTAATTTCTTTCAACAACACTGGTAAACATTTCCAAATTTCCGACAGAAGCATGCTTCTTCCAAATCACCAACGTTTTAAAAATTCATTTATTTTTTCAGATGGAGTCAAGATGTTTTCTTTTCTGCCTTGCATTCCACATTTTTTGTAGTAATGAGATTAAACTTTCCTGCAAGATAACCATCCTATGGCCATGTGTTGGATGAGTATGATATGGTTCGCTTCCATGACCATGAAAGCTGTAGACATCTGTTGCACCAGAGAGACAAAAGCTTTGACATTTCTCATCATGGCAGGGATGCCATCCGTAAGAATGCCAATGCAGTTTTTTTCCAGTTCAAGTCACAGGACTGCAAATAAGAAATGACAATGTCAAATATGTCTTGTCCTTTTGTTGTTTCTGGTAATTCCATACAGTAGAAAAAAAATCTTCAACAACAGTTCCGTTGTCAACGAAACGTACAAACCCCATAAGCTGTGATTTACCACTGACGTCATTTTTTCATCCACCTGCAGTGCAAAGAATGCATGTGTCTTTATCTTTGCTAAAACGTGACTTTCAATGTTGGAAATATGTCTGCTTATCAAAGTGTCTAGACAGTGAAATTTTATTGATGTCAGATTTGGCACTCTCGTCAAACATGACTCTGACAATTACTCTGCATGCAGGTAAGATTATGGTTTCAGTGAGCATAAAGGTATGTGTTACGCACTGGCTTCTCTTGTGAGAAATAAATCTCCTATTTTAAATTTATGGCTCGTTCAAACAGTGCCTAACACGATACCATAGAGAAATAAAATAACAAAATTATGACACCCAAAACAGTACCAATTACGATTTAATTTAGTAATAATACAATTATAAAACAAAATAAATATCATTTCAAATCATCAACTTACAGTATGGTAGATCTTGTACCGGTACACATTTAACACAGTTAGTACTATGTGCCAATGAATAATGATGAATGATCAATGCGAATAAACACATATTTATTTATTTAGGCATTTTTATATAGCGCTTATCATAAAGCTCTAAGCGCTTTACAATTATTAAAACATGTAAACTAAGTAAATACAAATGAGACACTAAGATAGTAACTACTATTCTATAGAAACAATGAAAATGGCTATAAAACGAGGACACTTTGAAACTTCAGGATCAACCCGAAACAGAAAATGAGGTAGGGCAAGGAGGGTGCATCACAGGTCATAGGCGGACCTAAACAGATGAGTTTTAAGGGACTATTTGAAAATGGACGAGGTTTCACTATGACGTATATGGAAGGGGGAGCTGGTTCCAGAACTTGGGCCCATGGAAGCAGAAGGAGCGTTCACCGATGGTCTTAGTTTTAGTTCTTGGGATTGAGAGGGTTCTACTGTCAATGGAAGAACGTAGTTGTCTTGTGGGGATGTAAGGAAGCAACAGTTCAGAAAAATGAGTCTGCATGCTGAGTTCTGTGCCTTCTGAAGTTTTTCTATGTGGTGTTGAGGAATGCCTGAGAGAAGAATGTTACAGTAGTCAAATTTTGAAAGAATGAGTGAAGAGACGAGAGTTTTTGTGGCATCAAAGGAGAGGAGGTGTCTAATGGTGCTGATTTTTCTAATTTCGTTATTTGCTGATCTGCATATATTCGTGACATGTTTCTCCATGGAGAGGGTGTCCGTAAGCGTGACTCCAAGGTTTCTGGCAGAGGGAGAGAGTGTAATGTCAGAGTTGCCAATAGATATAGAAGAAGGAGCGAATGGAGGGAGAGGTTTGTTTTGAGAGTGGATGAGAAGGATTCCCGTTTTATCATCATTTAGCTTCAGTTTGTTGCAAGTCATCCAACGCTTTACATCGTCCACGCACTCCTGTATGCGAAGGATTGTGGCATCAAGTTGATCAGCCAATTTACTAGCCGGGGTCATAAGAGAGTAATCTCAGACCTTCACCAGAATATGTGCGTTAGTTAGTTGATCAGGAAAGCAAGAGTCACTGATTTGAGTGTCATCAGCAAAGGATTGACTGGAAACTGAGTGGTGGCTAATGAGAGATGATAGAGGTTTAGTGTAGAGGATGAAAAGGACCGGCCCAAGGACCGATCCTTGAGGAACTCCAATAGACAGGGCTGAAGGTTTGGAAGAGCGGTTGGAAATAGAGACTTTTTGAGTTCTGTCAGAAAGATATGATTGAAACCAGTTTAAAGCTGAGCCAGTAAGTCCGAAAGAAAGATGAAGGCGGTCAAGAAGAATCTGGTGGTCAATGGTATCAAATGCAGCAGAGAGATCTAACAGAGTGAGAATAGAGAGTTTGCCATCGTCCATCGCGCGCAGGAGGTCACTCATGACTCGGACCAGTGCTGTTTCTGTGCTATGACCAAGTCGGTAGGCGGACTGAGAGGAAGGATAGAGATTGCGAGAATGAAGATAGCCAGAGAGCTGAGAGAGTATGAGTTTTTCTATGATTTTTGAGAGAAAGGAGAGGTTGCTGACGGGGCGGTAATTCTTGAGTGTGTTTGGATCAAGTGAGGGTTTCTTTAGGAGGGGCAGGACAATCGACCGTTTAAAAATGGGAGGGAATATGCCAGAGAGAATCGAAAAATATATAAGTACACAAAGAATAATACACGTCTCGTGAAGTTAAAAATATATATCCATCTCTCTCTGTGCCTGTCAATCCTGAATATATGTAGGTCTATCGACATTCTAGAAACGCCCTTACTTTTCTTATACAATCAAAAACTTTCCATAAGATACTAGTAGACATACTAACCATGATTAATTGGAAGTCGGTAGTAAACTTGATACATGAAAGGCTGAGCCACGCCCACAACAAACGCTACCGTCTGCTAGGAATCTAATGTGGGGTGAAACAAAGTTCAAGCACGGGGGAAAAGTGTACTACATAACAGTATGCGATTTCATTTTCTTTTCAATGATATCTGCTACAGCATAACTTGCTTCTTGAGCTTTGTCACTCATCTTGAACTTTTCTCTAATGTAGCGGTTTGTTTTTTATTCGAGCTTAGCGCCCAATCAAAGTTCGCCACATTATTGTGCGCTTTATCTTGTTGTTAAGCGTTGCTCAATTTATCTGATGCATTTGAACTATTGGACAACATCTAAAGTAGATAAGTGGATCAACGATGACTCATTACCAAACAGTGACAGCACTATCAGACTTGGTCCCTGGAGATTTCAGGCATTATTTTTATATTATTACAGACCACCGGCTGGTGCTTATGGAACCCTTAGGTTCAACGGAACCCCGGTTAAAAAAGCCTAGCTCAACCTAACAATCCAATAGCTAAATAAGAGAAATAAACTCATCTGCCCTGCCCAAAACTGAATGTTAGAAATGAGCTGAACTGCCCCATTCAATACTGAATGTTAGAAATGAGCTGAACTGCCCCATCCAATACTGAATGTTAGAAATGAGCTGAACTGCCCCATTCAATACTGAATGTTAGAAATGAGCTGAACTGCCCCATCCAATACTGAATGTTAGAAATGAGCTGAACTGCCCCATTCAATACTGAATGTTAGAAATGAGCTGAACTGCCCCATCCAATACTGAATGTTAGAAATGAGCTGAACTGCCCCATCCAATACTGAATGTTTGAAATGAGCTGAACTGCCCCATTCAATACTGAATGTTTGAAATAAGCTGAACTGCCCCAACCGATACTGAATGCTAGAAATGTGCTGAACTGCCCTATTCCTTTAGTCAAATGTGAGAAATGAGCACAGTTACCTTATCTTTGATATTAAGTGAAGCTCCAGCTTTAATCAGATCTTTGATGATGGTTGTGTTCCCTGACTCCACTGCCAGATGTAAGGGCGTGAGGCCCTGGAGGTCTACAGTGTCAATGTCCACATGTTCACCGAGGAGTAGCTTGACACAACCTTCTTGCTGGCACTCAACAGCCTGGAGATTAGTCAAAGTACACAAGGTGTAAATGAATAAAAAACTCTGAGAGATCTTATAATTTCAAATATTTTTTTCATGTATGTGTGTGTGTAAGAATCATTTCTCCAACATACTACATTTAATCTAAAAACAACAAAAATCTGTTTTAGTTTGTTATATTCAATTTTTAGAGCTTAAAGTGGGATAAATAAAAGGATATGTTCTTAAACTTAATTAATTTGATACCACCCTCAAAATATTGAGACACCAGATTTAAAACTATGAGAAATTACATTAATGCGATAACCTTTCCAGTGTTCAGTTTCAGCTATGGACTGTGGGTAAGCTTATAACTGATTCAAACTTATTATCTCCCTAGCTGCATTTATCTGGATATGATTTTAAAAAATAGAAAGCTCATTCCTTAAAAATAACTCAAGGGCTTGCTGAGCGGGTCTAAAACAAAAAGTAGAGGATATCTACCTAAGACGCCTAAGTGTCAATGATTGTGTTTAGATGTTATAGCCTGTGTGTTGACCTAGTTTTGTTCACCAGGAGCCTTACCTCCCCCTCTGTTTTTGACATCAACAATTAACACTGCCACGCTTTTCCCCCCACTGCCATTGATTGGGAAAGTTTTTTTACATTTTCAGAAGGGTCTACATTATAAGATATAGAGGGAGAAGTACTCCTTGTTTAATAAATTTCTAGAATTTCTGTTCTGGAGGGTTCTCCCTCCCTCCCTCACTATAACTATGATGGTCGACTGTGACCGGGAGACTTTTTACGAGACTTACAGGAGCCCTACAAAACTTACCAGATTTTTCATTTCTATGGATTAATATATGTACCTTTCTACTATTACACTTTTTCATTTACTGGGCTGTAAGTTAATATAGTTTTATTTCTAAATTTTTAAATCAACTTTACAGCATAATTAAATTTATTGCTAATATCTCTAGCTTTGGTATCATTTTTCTTTGTATACTGGTTTTCAGTCTGTCACTACGTATTGTTCATCAAATGAGCCAAATTTTAAAACAACTGATTAAATTTGTTAAGCATCATAATGGTACGTAACCCAAACTAATTTCAAAATTGCGATCATTACTTTTAACTTTTTAACTTGAGTTGTTGCCAAACAGAACCAGAGCTTTACTTGTTACAAAAACCGGTAAATGGTGAGTATGGATGCCACTATTTTGTCAATCGCCGTCATCTTGGTTGACCCCTATGCCTAACCTTAACCAAAAATCGACCCTTATTCCTAACCTGAACCCTAAATCAATCCCTATGCTTAACCTGAACCCTAAATCGATCCCTATGCCTAATCTGAACCCTAAATCGATCCATATGCCTAACCTGAAGTCGTGGCATCTCGAATGATCATTAGCCCAAAAACCAAACTTAAATTGTTACTGAAATGTAAATGAACTGAACCCAAACTGCTGAAAGAGGGCTCGATTTCCATCTTTACTTCCATTACAAATGTGAAAAGGAGCTACAACCACACACACACACAAATGTGAAAACCAACATAAAACAATGAGCAACAATTTTAATTATATATTTGGTTAAGAAATCAATTTAAATTTTAAAACCACAAAAGAGTGAAGTATACACATTTTTTAACTTGGTATTCAATAAAGAAGTTATAATCCAGGTTTGTAAAAAAAAAAACACAAAAAAAAAACGTTGAAATTCTGTTGTTTTTCCTCCTTACTCCCCCAATACCATTCCCAAACCCCTGCCTTATAACCTTCGCCCTCAAACCCTTCTATTTACCACCCTACAAACCTCTAACCCCATATCAAAGTAATTTAATGAACATTTTACCGTCTCCTCCATTTAGCCATAAAAGTAAAACTTTAAAGGGATTTAAAAATTCGTTTGTTCTGGCAATAATTTATAAAGTGATGCCCGAAAACATGTTATACAAGATAAGTGTGCTCTCCCGGCTGTTACAACATCTAAACAATCGACCTTAAGGTCAATATTATCACTAATTAAGTTTTCATGGCGTATGATGGATGATTTTTGAACTTGAGAAATACCTGAGATGTCTTGCATTAAATTGTTCTAGTTTAAAAATGTTTGTCTTTGTAAGAATATTTATGCATCTGCTGAAAATGAATAAGTACATTGTAATAAAAAAAAAAAAACTTTTCCATTTATTTGGATCAATAAAAGAATCTTATCTCATGTTATTTCAAAACTTCTGTTATAATATTATAAATTTTCACTACCCTAGCAAAAATGTAGGGTGCATTTTAACATATCTGTTTAAATGGTAGGATCTGTCTTTTGCAAATTAATTTTATTTGTTCATCTTCATCAATAATCTATTTTAAATAGAAGAATTCTGTCTGGTCCTTATCTTCCAACTGTGTCTTTAAAATCTCATTAATTTAAATGTCTTGTCAGCATGGTAAGTCACACCTCTACCCCCCACTGCTAGATATATTCTAATGTATAGATATACATTTAAACCTCTGCACAGCAATACCCAGATAATCTTATCTCAATCAATGGAATGCCAGGCATTTAGTCTTATGGTTTCTCCATGGATCAATAACATTCCAGAGCAAGCATGAAAATGATTTCAGTATTATGTTAAGAATAAATTCCTATGAGATTTGTTTGACCTGATTTACCAAGATGTTTTAACCTTAATGAATGTGGTGCAGAAATCTGAAAGAAAATTACCTTCAAGCAGCAAAAAACTATTTTCCCAAGGGAAATCCACAAATAAACAGCCAGATAATAACTAAAACAAAGTTATATTCAATTTACAATTCCTTTAAATCTTAAATAAGTGTGAACCTTTATTAATTTGTCAGTGACTGTATTTTGTCATGATAAGTAACAACAAAATATGAATTTGAAATTTAAAAAAAAAAAGCAATGATAGTGAGTATCCCACAATTATAAAGTAAATGATGTAACATTTCTCGCATAATAAAGACATGTCTAAATTCCCATCCAATTTAAATATTATCTATAATAATTATTTCTTATTTTAAAAAGTGATTCATGTTTTGCTTTTCTATGAAATTTGCTTTTGTGTTACTGATGAAGGCATTAACCAAACATATAAATGTGTAGTTTGTCTTTTAATTAAAGCCTGGTGATACTGTTTTACTTAAATAAACTATTTGTGTCTCATTTCTTATAATATTACAATAAAAAAAATAGAATATGTAACACACACATATTTTGAATAGAGACACCTCAAAAATATTCTGTTCTTTTTCATAGAAATGAGGCATGATCTTAACTACAACATAGTTGGTAGAAATAAGCCAAAAATAAAAAAAAACAGATCACTGTCAAGGTCATGGCATCAGAGGTGTAGTGTGTATGGTGATGTTGACAGTTAAGTTTAGTGTGTGAGTGGGAACTCTTTTCATGTCAAGGACGAGTGCTTAGATTTTTGTGTTATAAAGGGTGAGAATGATTTGGAGCATCAGAGTGAGATAGTATTTTGGGTTAGATTCGCTGTGGGGTTTTTTGCCGGATAATATTTTCTGATGGATAATTATGTAGTAACATCGTTGTGTACCAAGTGGATGTTGGTGTACAATGAATTATTCAGTGTTTGAGTTAATTGACCAAGTGAGAGACGAGATCCGAAACAAACTACTCTGACATACGGTTGGACAAAATATTTGCCATCAGAATATATCAGACCAGGCGGAATATTTGACAATCACCTAACAATCTGTTAGGTAATAAGACATATTTGGTGTGTAATTGCATATTGCATTGAGGAAAAAATACAAATGATTTAAAATAGATCCTTAGAAGAAAGTTACTTTTATCTATGAGATTAAAAAACTTGCTATAATGGAAACTGCTAATGTTAATGAGCCTGGAAACTCAGGAGAAAGTAGGTTGCCTTACATTAAAAATAAAATCATCTTTCTTAAAACTATTCCTAAAAGGATAAAATTCCAACCAGTTGCATCACTAGGGGGATGCATCTGCGCCGGGTAGTGCCGTCGCAGGGAGGTGACACCAAATAGAAAATGCATTTTTGACAGAGGTCGCTCCAGTCGGTTTCATAACAGAACTCATTTAACTTAAATACAAGAACAGCATGTCACCAGAATAGGGTGAAAACAAAGCCAGGTGACATTAGAACAGGAAGCCACCAGAGCATGGTGCCACCGGAACAAAGTGTCACCAAAGCAGGATGCCCCGGGGCAGGCGGACTTTGAGGAGGTTTGTGGTGGAAGTCTAGAGGGTCTGAAGAAAAGAAACATGAGGGCAATGCTGTTGTGAATAGATCATTTTCCTTTTGAACTCCAGATGAGACAAAGAGCCATCAAGGATGTAGCAAATAATTAAGTTTCACACTGTTAAAGCTACTAATGGCGACTGAAGACGAATTCTGGTGTGCATTTGAAAACTGGTAAGTTTCTAAGAGTTCTCCGAGAGTGAAGTTGTAATTGAAATACATGGCCTGTGAAGGGACCTGAAAGCAGCAGAGAGTAATCTCAACAAAGCCAAAGATGGGTCAATATTTAGAGTTTGAAATTCACAGGCGAAAGCGAAGTCCTAAAATCTCTTCCTATCCTCCCATTTAGTGTACAATTTATTCTACTATCTGCTTGTCTGTGGCTTCGTGTGAGAGAAGCTTTTTAAACTAAAACTTATAAAGAAATATTTGCCATATACCATGTAGTAGAGTTTTAACTGTTAATAAGATCAATGTTTCAATAAAAAGTAATTGTGCCAAATTATATGTTTTCTTCTAATGTCTTTTACTGCTTTAGGACTTTATTTACAAACAAACTGTCAGTGAGTGACTTGGCTCTCAAATGATAACCTCAAAAATTAATGCATGCAGAAGTGGTTCAGTTTAGTTTACAGTTCAATGTAAATGCCACAAATAGGAAAGCAGAAGATGATACCACCTTTTCCTAAATCAAGAATAGTATTTTTCCTACAATTTATGAGTTATTTTTTAAAAGGTTGATAAGTGAGTCTTATATCCTCTTAATTGTGTTTCTTAACAGTAATCAGGACAGCAAATGTTGGGAAAATAATATGTGGATAACTGCGGCAGTGAATGCAAGAAATGTCTAATACATTATTTGATGTACAAGTCATTAACAAAAGGAAAAACAACTTACACGCATAAGAGGTGTCCTTGCCTGGCTGTCACCAATGTTTGGTTTTGCTTTCCATTCTAATAATAGTTGTACAACATACACATGTCCACGAACACATGCTAGATGAAGAGGAGTTCTGAAATCATATAAAAACATAAATTACTAGTAAACTAAACTTATTTATAAAATGCATAGCTACTTCAAAAATAAACAATTCTGGAGCAGCAATTCTTCTGTACACATAAAACATCACTGCCATGAGCTGACATTTAAAAAAAAAGATTATTCTTATAAATATCAATTTTGATGCAGAGCCAGCAGTTTGTCCTTATAAAAGTGCTGCCCAGTGAAACATTTTTGGAAGTGTAGAATAATTGACCTGGTAACTTTTTTTGCAACTATTGATTACCAGTTTTCTAAATGTCTAGCAGACATATTTCTAAATATTTTTAAAACTGATGTCTAATTTTTATTAAGGTCCTCTCAAAATGTCTCTGTCAGAGTCTTCAGAGATTTCCTTGCTTTTACTCTCTCTTGGTTGGCATACAGTACACAACAGTTTTAACTATGCACTGCAGTGGTAGGTGTAGATGTACAATGTAAAGATCATTCTCTGTACAGGAACTGTCTTTTTTAGGCTCAATATTCTGTTCTTAAATGATTAACAGCCTGATTGATGATTATGTCTATGTGCAGGAAACTAAATTTACTTTGAAGAACATTTCTGTATCTGTAAGTCTCCTATTCAATCATAATTCATCACACTGTAATATAGCTTTTCGGCATTGATAGTTGACTTTTCCATTGTTGCAACAAAAAAAAAAACTGCTGTTACCTTGACACATAGTTGCATTGCATACGATAATCCAATGTTGTGTATATATATTATTCAGCCGATCCTAGATAATAAATAAATACTGAATATGGTAATTGTTATGTAGTACACATATTCCCGTGCGTGAACTTTCTTTAACCCCGCATTAGACTCCTAGCAGACAGTAACGTTTGTTGTGGGCGTGGTTAAATCTCTTTGATGTATCTTGTTTATTACCGACTTCCAATTAAACATGGTTAGTATGTCTACTAGTGTCTTTTCGAAGGTTCTCGATTGTATTAGAAAAGTAAGGGTGTTTCTAGACGCGTCGGTAGACCCACATATATAAAGGATTGACAGGCACAGAGAGGGAGGGAGATTCAGATAGATATATTTTAACTTCACGAGACGTGTATTATTCTTTGTGTACTTATGTGTTTATTCGCTTACGTCATTGCACATTATTAATTGGCACATTGTATTCTCTGTGTACCGGTACAAGATCTAACCATACTCTGCAAGTTGATCATTTGTAATTATATTTTCTTTTGTTTTATAATTACTAATTTAAATCTTATTAATTGTAATTGATACTGTTTTGGGTGTCGTATTTTTGTTATTGGTATTTCTCTATGGTATCATCCTTTGTTATGCACTGTTTGAACCAGCCATCAATTTAAAATAGGAGATTAATTTCTTACAATAGAAGCCAGTGCGTAACAGTAATATTTTCAAATGCTCTGAGATACTTTCAAATGCTCTGTGATAAATAAAGTGTATCATAAACTTTTGACTTTGAATTAAAACTATTATAATACTAGTAGGCCTATATAACTATACAGTAGTCTTTTTGAATTCGACTCTTCAAAAAAAAAATCCATTATATTGGTTTAATTCAGAGGCGTAGCTAGAGTGTTTGGCGCCCAGAGACAAGATTAATTTTAAAGCACTCCCCCCACTCTTTTTTCAACTCTGAAACCCATTATTTTTATCAGTAAAATAATATCAAAGCACATTTTGGCGTCCCTAACTAGTCTGGTGCCCAGGGACATCTGCCCCCCCCCAGCTACGTCTCTAGTTTAAATATCTTATATAGCTCTACCTAGTAGCCTAAATTTAAAATATGAACGAAACAAAATAAGACCAATACCTGCCAGTTGACTTTCAATAGACCTACGTCAAAAAAGTTTTATGTTAGGCAATTAATATTGCGTGAGAAGTAGGCTACCCCAGCAGCACACTATGTTGGCCCTATATTAAGATGTAGGGTCTATTTCTTTGTGAACTATCGACCTCCCCGTTTTAATTCTTTATCACCATCACTATCATTTTTATCCTTTCTCTCTCGCTCTCAGTATTTCGGACAAGTCATGTAACGTAGTAGCCGGACGAATTTCTCGAGAACTTGTTCGTCCGTTTGCCGGACATGCAGACACTTCCAAAAAAATTGTGTGCAAAATAAGGCAGAAATTGGGAAAGTTAGTTACAAGTTTTCACAGTTAAAGACAAAGATAAATAAAGAGGGTTTAAAAAATTCAACAAAAAATAAATAAAATCATAACTTCATTTCTATAAAAGACAGAAAGATGAAATTGGTGTTTTTGCACAGATTTTAGAGCAGACCATTTTAAAAGGTTGTATAAGTATCAGTATCAATAGTATCATTAGACATCATCATCATTTCATTTTTGGCAATTCAAAATTTCTTTCAAGATACCGGGTACGTAAAGTTACACAAATGGTGTCAATTATGACTAAGATAAATCAATGATAATGTGATAACAGTGATTAAATTTATTCATGTATAAATACTAAAATATCTACCTTTTTTCTTTATCTAAAGGACTAGGATCTTTCCTTACAAGCTGCTTTACTTTCTCCTCGTCGCCATTCCATGCAGCTTTGTGAAGTTTTCCTAAATCTTTTTCTTTCACATCATAACAAATGTTCAGAGAAGCCAAAGATCCTCGCGTAGAGCCAGATTTGGGAGACGATTCGCCACTTCGGTCTTTTCCTTTAATTTTTTTCCAAAGTTTTTTCATTCTCGTAACTAGGAACGCTCCTCATTTGAATTAATTCTCTTTGCATACGCATCCGCCATCATAAATAGTTGCTACCGCTAGGGGCGATTAATCCCTAATAAAACTTGGTCTCTTTGCTATTTGTCGTTTGCCATACCTCGGTTTATTGTTGTTAAAAGAGAAAAAAAATATGATAGGGCGAACATTTTTTTAACGAAATGTTTTGATATCCTGATTAGGTGTTCCTTTTTATTTTAAACGTAATCTTGACATCATATTTTGGTACATTTATAATTAACTTACTCTAAAAATTCAAAGACAACACAAACCAATAATAATAAGTATAAGATATTGACTAATTTATTTCAATCCATATATTTATTGGCAGTATTATTAATACCAAAATGATAATTGTATTGTAGACCCATTATTACTCTCTAACTAATTAACTCCTTTTTGCATTTCAACATGTAATTTCTCAACAAAATTTGTAAGATTTAATTAGGCCTAATCACTGGTTAAATTGGCATTCAGATTGAAAAAAAAAGATATAAAGATTGCTTTTATTTCAATAAATTTTTCAGTGATAGGGTAATGCTAAATTACGTAGGCTCCACTCCCATTCATATTAAATAAAATTAAGTTTCTTTTCTCAAATAATAATTTGTATATTTAAAAAAATATTAAAAAAAATAACTATTCCTTTTACGTATTTATAGTCAGGAGCAGTTCAAGTTAAAGTTATACATCCGAATAGATAAGTCTTTTAGAGTAGCTCTTTAGTGATATTTAGTGAAATTGTTACAGTCAACAGAAATGGATGATACCATTATAACTCCAGAGAAAGTAAAAAATATTCTGTCTTCGTTTCTCATAAATTCTAATAAATCACCTGATAAAGCGTAAGTATATTTAAAATTGCCAATAGTTTAATAATGTAGGCTAAAGCTAGTAAACCATTTGCATTTGTTAAGTCCTTGAATTTTGTCAGAGTCAGAAGAATAAAAATTAAATATTTCTATATTCTCTGATTCTATGACTATGAGTACTATGACGACTATGACTATGATTGTTCAAAATTTGAGTCAAATCTTATTAATATTATTTCAGTCATCATCCACTTTCAGTCCGTCTTTAATTCTCTGTTTTAATTAAATTTTGCAAAATAAATGGCTCTGTGCAATGTGTTCTCTCAGCTGTTATGTAGCCTGGAAGCGTGTTTTTTTTTGTTCAGTTAGAAGAATAGACTTATAAATTATAGTTAAATTGTAGTAGTAGGTCTATAAATAGTAGGTGGGAGCAAACTTATATCAGATTTTATGTATATTTTCGATTTCTGTATTCTAAAATTACAATTAACTTAGATTTATTCAGATATTAAAAGATTATGGAATATTAAAACTCTTTTGACTGATACCGAGAGCGAATTTAAATTCCGGTGAAGATACAAAATATGGAGAAATTTATTTTTTCCCTCCTGTGATGAGAGCGTGATGAACATATGAAAGGTTTATATTAACCTAGAAAATAGAATATGGACTATTTCAAAGTTAAAAGTTTCCCCACCCCATTTGAATGCTTAACTCGTTTTTAAAGGTTTTAATGTCATTTTATTGCTAAAACGGAGTATTTATAAATTTTTATAGATTACCGTACGGTCAAAGTGACACAAAAAAAGAACAGAGGTAAAGCAAGTTGGTCTAAAGATATGTGCGTCACCGGAAGAAAAATATTTATCGTAATTGATGACAAAATAAATGTACAAATAGGAAACTGTGATGTAAAACGCATAAATCCGAGGTCACCGTAGATGCTATTGTAAGATGGCCACTTCAGTTTTTGCATCTTTTTTCCATATGCGCAAACTGAATGCGCAAGCGTTTATCGATATGCCTATGTTCAGCCATCACCATGGTCACCACCCAGTGACCCAGTCACTGAACTTTCCCTGCCTCCACTTGCAAGTGCTTATATAATTTATATATAATAATTATAAAAAGTAATATATGTATAATAATAATAATGTATATTATTGGAACCGTGTCTGAGTAACTGAGTTCGGCTAAAGGCACTAAAGCTAAGAGTAAGAGATATCACCATGCTATGACGTCATTTGCGTGTTTATTAAAGTTGCCGTGAATTAGGGTTCAGGTTAGGTTTAGGGATACATTTAGGGTTCAGGTTAGGTTTAGGGATACATTTTAGGGTTCAGGTTAGGTTTCGGGATACATTGACTAGATACTCCGCCGTAGCAAAGGACACTCCTAGCAAATTTGGATCGGAAATGGGCATCGGCGCAATAGAATCCGAGTTTTTAATTTTTCATGTGCATGTAATTTGAATAAATTAGGAGTCCTTTTTGGCCTATAATTAAGGTCTGACTCCACCCATTAACGTTAGGAGAAATGATGAACTACATTCCCATTGAGTTAATTTTTTCTTTATATCAACGTTATGTAAGGAAAATCTTATGTCATATAAGGCATCTTCGCATTAAAAAATTATGGTCTAAATATTCAAAGTCGTCTTTCATATTAAAAGTAGGCCTGCATATTTTGTTGAAGTACATGTGTGCAAAATTTCATTGAGTTAGATCATGAAACATTTTCACAATTCTCCTCAAAGTTGACCTCATTATGCAAAGGTCGCACAGGCCATTTTGGATTTGTGATCCCGCCCCCTTTTAAATGGCGGAAAACGTAGATAGTTAGCTCAGGGTTCGCACAGTCTTTAAAGGTCTTTGAAGGTTTGGGGAAAATAAAATAAAATTTCCAGGGCCTGGTAAGTTTGGGAAAATTGGCAAAAAATGTCACAGTCTTTGAAAGTTTAGGAAAAAAGATTTAAAAAATTTGAAAAGAAAAAAACCGAAAGCGAAACAAGTTTCCAATTTTACTGACATGCACAGTGCGCATTTCATAATGATCCATAACCATGCGAGAAAGGAATTAGTTCATTGGTCAGTAGATTTGTTTAAGCCAATCAAATTAATCTTAACGAGTATATCAGTCGGGAAAACGGGAATTAATCTAGAATTTATTGAATAATTTTCCCGGTCGTTAAAACTTGGAAAATTGGCCTTCTAGTAAGGAAATTTTTCAGATAGTCTGGAATTTTTTAATTTGTAAAACATAATAAATATAGCTTTTGATGCCATGAAAATTGACGTTAATCGCCGATCTCGTCTATTTTTAGCCTTTTTGTTAGTGTTATCAAAAGAACTTTGTCAAATGCTAGTGGTTTCCCCTTTTTTTTGTGCATGCGTTTTGAGCTCTACAAGTTTTAATACGGTACTGTACAACTTCGATAGACCAGAATTATTAAATTTCTGTTCACATCGCTGATCAAGAGATGTTCGAATGTTTGGGTAAGTAAAATGTAAATAATATGTTAAATAATTATTTGAACCTAGTTTTCAATTGTGAGTTAACCATTATAAATAGAAAACTACTTGCCAAGCGCTCTCGTAAATGACTAAGCTTAACGTACTTTGTTATGGCGTAGTCTTCATAAGTTGATTTTTAACTGTTTTACTGTATATGTATTTTTTTTTAGCGCTAGGCAGCCTTTAACTTTTTATTAAAGACTTTAAGTTCACTTTACACTTAATTATGGACTAGGTCTTCAAATTGTAAAAAGGCTATTATGATCAAGTTATTTTGTTATGTTATTTTTGCGTAGATTAGTTAGCTAGTTTACGGCTGATTTCGGAAATTCATTTAAAAGTTAATAAAATAAAATAAAATTATTTGATGGGCTGATTGGAGTTGGTCTTGATACATCGATTCAGTGAGCCAAACATAACTGTATAAGTATATGGTTACTTAGTCCTCAGTTAAAGTTATAGTCATTTATAGTTATGCACTCCCGTGCTTTGGGTATACTTAAGGGTATTATACTATTATTCATAAGCATAGTGGTGTTGGCAAAGTTTTTTTGTTGTTTTTTTTTGTAAAAAAAAAGGTGTTGTGTGGGGGGAGGGGGGGGTTCCTTTGGAAACTCCGAAAATGTGGGGTGATCAATGATGCATTCCCCTGCAGGAAATCTTGACTGTGCATTAAATGCATATCTTAGTATCTCTTCTGACTCTATATTACTGTAGTTTAGTACAGGTATAATATAGTCTATATGAATATGATGTATGCCTTACTGTAAATTATAAACATAATAGTATTAATATTTATATAATAATGTAAATATATTTCTTTTCACATATTATTTTTGTTTTACTATTCCAGATCAAGGCTCAACAAAATAGTGCCCAACAGTTCCTTTAAAGACTGATGGTCAGACAGCTATCATGATAATGATTGAACAAGTCATTACTGCTTCACTATGATAGAAATATTGATATCAACTATTCAGGGCGAAAATATTTTTAAAATGTCAATCATCTGATGAGACTTCAGCTTTATCACCTATCTTAGGTGTCCAGTTCTGCAACTTCTCAGTCAAGCGGCCAATGTATGTGTCAAAATATGAAACCTTCATTGGAGAGATTTTATAGATAACAAATGGATATTTATATTCACATCTGGGATGTAAATAGTTCATTTCTCCTTTCATCTCATTTTTTTAGACATGCCACTGCTGAAAGCATATTGGAAAAAATAAGTCTGATTATCACACACCTTGGACTCAGGGGATTTTTACAAATGACTATGGATGGCCCTGTAGTGAACTGGAAATTTTTCAAAGCATCTGGATACAAATGGACAGTCAAGACATTTAAAATATTTTGTCTACGACATTTCCTTATTGGTCTGTAGCTGATGATTCATCATGATAATGATGTTTTAACTATTAATTAAAAAAATTACATTTGAACACTAGCTGATTCAAATGTATAAACCACTATAAATACTTGTGTTATATTTCCTAAAACCAATTTCTCTACATGGATAAGCTGAATATTATGTATATATTGTATATAATTATAAAGAATTTAGAATCTATTCTATCATTAGGTTAATTTTTGTTTCTTTTTTTTTCTCTTTAGTACGGTACCTTATATGATAATAAATAGGTCTTTGAATTTTAAAACAAAGGTCTTTGAAGGTTTGGGAAAAGTTTGTGAATTCTAGACCTTGAATTCT